TGTCCATGTGTGTATGTATAATAGATGATTAGGATTATTACCCATTGGGTTTATGTTACTATCTTAAATAATGTGCGAAAATGCAGGGAGACTTTCAAAGAAATAAATAAAAATATACACTTACAATAATTAAAACGGTAATTATGAATTTCGTTATTTCCGAACTCATGAAGATCCTTTGGGTGCTTGGAAATAGGTTTCAAAGCCTAGGGTGAGCCGCGCCTCCTTGCCTACAACCCTACCAAATAGTTAAATGTGAATGAAATGTATTCTTCTTTGCTCCCTTTTAATGTGACTGCGCATAACAATTGCAAAGGAAAAGGTTGCAGCGCCAAGCGCTTCTTAGTGCGCGCGTGCTGCGATAGTTACATTTCAATCAGACTTTATTACCATATGACCATTTGTGTTCCTCCCTGGGTTCTTCAGATCCTTTTCCTTGCGCCAATAATGAACCCCCGCTAGAAACGATGTCTACCTGCTTGCTAGTCCAACACCTCGAGACGGGCGCCGATTTTAACTCAATATTTGCAAATGGAAAGCAATGGAGCAAACTCGTCAGGAAATGGTGGCTCCCCAGGCCTTCCAGCAGTCGATTCGTCCTTCTACAAGAGTCCGACGCATGTTTAGCGTTATGGCTGGTGCACAGCTGCAATAGTGGCGGCCCTACAACACTATAAACAGCACGAACCCAAGGTGTCAGAAGCATCAATTGCTTGAACTGGTTCATCACGACCAAGTGTATACTCTACTTTTTGACACCATAGAAGATGGAATGCCATTGAGGGAAAACGGCCCCCCACGTCTGTCGAACTGCATCTCGGTGCTTGGATGCCATTCTACAGTGCGTGCAACGGCAATCAGCAGTGGCACAATCTTTGCGTTGCTGTGATTGTTGTACATGCTGTTAGTCGGTGTAAGCCAGATAGTTGCTCTTGACTTTACTGTTCTATTATTAGCATTATTATTACTGTTATCAAGCCCGCGAATAAATTTGGCCGCTAATTCCAAACGCCGCCTCTGATTCATCCCTCTTTTTCCTCAGAAAGGGGGATGGTAGCATTAGACGATCATGGCTTATGCCGATATCGATTTTTGTGTTGTATGAAAAAGTGCTAACCAGTGACGCTTTGCATGCAGGCAGACAACGTCAAGCGACCCGTGAAGTGTCAAAACGTATTCCTCAGTTTTCTAAACGATCGCGTCCTAAGGGCGTTTTTACAACTATTTTGTTGCTTTTGCACCTCTTCTATTGAGAGCCGCGGAGTATTCGTATTCAACAATGGGTAACATTACTCGTCGAGGGAGGGTACGCCTATTAATCCGCTGCAACTATATTGTTTTGACAAGCAAGCAAATATAAACCTTTTTACATACTCACAAACATATACACACTTATTATCGAGCAAATCGAAGAGGGTGCGAAGAAATGCCGTACTGGGAAAACTACCTGTGCACCAAACCTGAAGTCGATGACGACGACCTCCCTCTACCGGAGCATCGCATCTTTGATGACTACGGGAACCTCAAGGCGCAAGCCAGTCGTCAAGTGAGGCCCCTCCATGAGCGTAAGGCACATGTCGCTGTTGCGGTAAAGAGTAACGCGTATGTCCTACCAAGGTTCTTGCGTGCATTGTTTTCAAACCCGAATACTGTGTTTGTGAAAAAAAGCACCCCCAACGTGGAATGCGCATCCTTGGTGCCGAACCGCAAGAAAATCTCGCCGAAGCACAGCGCGCCTCGGAAGGCGACATCCAAAACCGGCTCACCGACTACTACCAGCACCAAGAAAAGCCCTGAGCGACACACAGGCACTCGTGCACGAACGTTAGCTGATGCTGGAACCCCAAATCAGCGGAAATCGCCTACAAAGAGCCAAGGGTCTCCTGGTACTGGAACGAGGCCCTCGAAAGCTTCGACATCGCATGGCAGCCGTGGTGCGTCGCCGGTGCCGGTGGCGACCGCTACGGTGGTGCTCCGCTCCGCCTCTGCCTCCAGAAGCCGATCTGCTTCGCCGAATGCCACGAAAAAGACCCCTGCCCGCGCATCGCGGAGCCGGAAATCTCCAGTTTCGCGAAAGCGACCCTCCAGGACTCGCTCAGCGTCTCGCAGGTCGAGCTCGGGCTCGCCAAAGAAACGCAGCGTGCCGCAGGCCTCTGGTAGCCCGAGCTCAAAGTGGGCCGTAGTGGCGTTGCAGGAATATGCGAAGCAAAATGAAATCTCAACGAGAGGCCTGAGAACGAAGTCGGATATTCTCTCGGCCATCCGAGCCGCACGTTCCTAGCAACAACACCCTATATACAAGCAACTCTCATTGTGTTGACTTACATGTGGGCACTTTCGGCTTTCTAGTGCACTCCCCCGATAAATGGGCTCGAGAGCGATACATACAAAAATAGGCCGAAATGATCAAATAGACATAATATTATACTCCACACACCCTTGCAGCATTTTTACCTGCGAGGGAAACCTCCAAGCTTGGTGGAATATCCCTTCTTACCCATGCACGCACACGTTATATAGCCCAGTCGTGCACGGAATCCACGAGTTGCTTTCTATCCTCCACCTCGTGGCACGAAGCCCACACCATTCTCGTATTTTAGTGGGGGCGGGAAAACACTATCTAGCCTCGACTAGCTCCCATAGTGCGCATTTATGTGCGTGAAATACACAAAAAGAAGCCTGAAGCATGGGGGTGGATGACCGGTGTTCCGTGAAGCGTGGTTTGGGCAGGGCCTCCTTCCAAGCTTTCCGAGGTAATTTGTTTGTAGATACAGGGTAAAAGTGTCAGCACGGGACGATCCGCCTCCTCTTGTTTACTACTTTTGGATTATGGAAATGGGGTTTCAATAGTCTTGATGCAAGCCCCCTCCCCTCACCCCCCTTCTCTCTCTCTCACCCCCTCCGTAAAAGACTATCCTCGTATAAAATCCCCTGGTGGTGGTGGCTCAACACAGGTCGTGTTGTTTACAGGCCAATATATGCATATACCCCCTGCAGGCATTGCAATTCTTCCAACTTTTACAGGGATCAGAATTCATATCCGCACACGTCTATTGTGGCGACTATTTCAAGAGGTGGAAGAAATATAAACAAACGTCTTAGCTGAATTGTGGAATGGATGGAAACCATATCGACGGTCAGGAAGGACAGGGGCAAGGCTAGCTCACCAGGCAGTTCCCTCATTGTACTAAACAGCAGCCAAACACGTTACCATGTGGTCCGAGCGGCGGCTTTGAAGCGTGGCTGGCTGCTTGAGGAGGGAGGCTGTCACAACGACATACCTGAGTCCTTCTACGGCGTGTCGTTGCACGCTGCCCGTGTGACGGAATCCCCCGCACGCCGGTTGGGCGCACTTGTCTACGCGGCTGACTCTACACCACAGGTACTGTGGGTCGACAAGAGCGTCACCCATCGACGGGTTGCTGCCCTCAAGCCCCATCAACGACTCAATCACTTCGTGGGTATGAGTTGCATTGCTCGCAAGGCGACTCTGTTCAGGCGCTTAATGTGTATTTTGGATCGCTGTGCGACCACTGAACCATCAGCGGGGAAGGAGCAATTTACGTCGCTGCTAGATACTATGAGGCGATTCTACCCACCCAGCTTCGCCACCGGCATGAGTCTTTCTGCGTTCGCGGCACATGTCCGCCGTGGTGAAACTTTGTGCAATGAAGATAGCGCAAGAGTTTTTTACATCATCAAGCCCAATAAAGGCTGCCAGGGCAAAGGCATCCTCATCACGCAGCACCCAACAGAGGCCCTCACCGGGCAGGGACGTACGGGCATGGATACGGGGTTCCTCGTACAGGAATACATCGACAGACCCCTATGCATCGACGGGCGCAAGTTTGATATCCGCCTTTACGTGCTCATCACATCCATCTCAGCCCCTGCGCGATCACGACTCCGTCTCGGCCGAGGAAGAAGCAATGCACACGATGCATCTACGCCTATGCGGGGTGCAGCAGCTGAGACGCTTCCCCCAGAACTGGAGGGTGTCCACGTGTTTGTGCATCGCCGAGGGCTGGTTCGTATCTGCGCGGACGCCTACCAGCCGCCCACCGACGACAACGTGGGCTGCCGAAGCATGCACTTGACCAACTACGCAGTCAATAAACATTCCAAGAGGTACACGGTAGACGAGTGCCCACTGGCTGGTCCCGCTGAGCAAAGCAATGAAGCGATGGGCCAAGCCGATACCGCGCCGCGGGACCCAGTGGAAGGCGAAGCCCTGGTGTGCGGTGGCACTAAGCGTGATCTGGACTTTTTGGAGGTGTTCCTCAACTCCCTTCCGGGCCGCCCTAGCGGAATAAATGAGGACACAGGTGTTCTTCGAGGGAATGATCGACCGTGTGAGGGGTCCCTCTGGGCACAGGTGAAGCGCCGCATCGACGAGTGTATTGTGCTGACCGTTCTTTCTGGTCTTCCGGCGTTACGACGTGAGCTCGCTGGTGCTGCTGCGATGAGTAGTACTCGAGGTGACTACAGGCACAATTGCTTCGAACTGCTAGGTTTCGACATCCTGCTCAGGGAAGATAATCTCGAGCCCGTGCTGATGGAGGTGAACCACTCGCCCTCACTTTTCTGCGACACGAGTTTTGACTTTAGCGTCAAACTCGATGTAGTTTCGGATACTTTCTCCCTGCTCGAAACGCGCATCGCGTCGCTTGAAGAGCTCCAATTTCGGAACAGTTCCAGTTTCGCCTTGAACAAAAGATGTCACAACCAAAGCGCCCCCAAGCCAGGGTATCCCACGTCGTATGGGTTCGACGTGCACTCGGAAGTGCTGTCAGAGGAGCAGTTAGTGGATAGTGGCTCGGTGGGTTTTGTGCAGCTGCTTCCACAACGCGTGCCGTGTGGGGGTTGGACCGAGGAAGAGCGGCAGCGCCAGCGTGCAATGCTCCTTCTCGCGAATGGGCTACCCTAAAAGCGAGGTATTAGTTTTAAAAACAAAGCGCGGAAAGGGTCAGGCATGTGGACATATAGAAGCGGAAAAAACAAGCGAGCATGTTCTTTTATTTAACTTACTTGGTCCAGCTTTGTGTGCGTATGCGTAGTTGGAGTCCTGAACACACGTTATTTAAGGTTGCTATTAATATTAGTCTTCTCGCCCACACACACCCTCTTAAGTAGTCTTTCCCTGAGCATTTCAACACTTACCTCGAAATTGACATCATTGCACTAAAAGGTCACATAACATCACCCATACCCTTATCCACAGATGTCCTCGCTCCCTGTCATTGACATTTCCCCCTTATACGATGATAACAAAGGGGCCCTGATGGACGTCGCGCACGCTATCGACAATGCTTGCCGTACATGGGGTTTCTTTTACATCATCGGACACAGAATTCCTGAGTCCCGCTTCAAGGAGCTCCGCATGATGGCCGAAAAATTCTTCTCACTGCCTCTTGAGGAAAAGCTCAAAATTGACATTACCAAATCATTGGTACATCGTGGGTATGGTATTACGTCAGCTGAACAGCTCGATCCCAGTGTATCAACGGACTACAAGGAAACCTTTGACATGGGGTGTGACTTGCCGCCAGATCATCCATCTGTTAGGGCAGGAGAGCCGTTGCGTGGTTCTAACCAACACCCCGACATTCCAGGCTGGAGAGATCTCATGGAAACACACTATAAAGACATGATGAACTTGGCCCTCCAACTGCTGCGCGCGGTAGCGCTCGCCCTAGGTGCCGACGAGGGTTTCTTTGTCGAAAAGTTCAACGAGCCACTGAGCGTATTTCGCATGATCCACTACCCCGCGCTACCCGAGGAGAAAGGCCGTGTTACTTGTGGCGCCCATAGCGATTATGGTATCGTGACGCTTCTGTATCAGGACACGGTGGGCGGCCTGCAGGTACTCAACACACACGGTGAGTGGATAGATGCGCCACCGATTCCCAATAGCTTTGTGGTGAACATCGGGGACATGATGAGTATGTGGAGCAACGGTGCCTACAAGAGCACCAAGCATCGCGTGGTGAGCTCAGGTGTGGAACGCTATTCCATGCCCTTCTTCACGGAGCCCAACCCCAGTACGCTCATCAGCTGCCTGCCGAATTGCTCTAGCGATGAAAATCCACCGAAATATCCGCCGGTTCGCGCAGTGGACTGGCTGTTGAAGAGGTTCAGCGAGACGTACAAGCACCGCGCTAAGGCGTGAGCCCATAGTAGATGCTCTGCATGTGCGTTTTCATCAAAAAACTTTAGGAGAGGCCAACTCCTGAACGAGAAATTAAAGTACCACTATAAATCTTACATAATATTTAATTCGTCCCAAATATTTTACTAGTTATTCAATTCCTTCCTGCAGATACCTACTCTAATATTGAACGCTTCGCAAAAATTGTACGCATCACGATCGTGTGTTAGTTTATATTCTACTTTATTCTAGGAACTTTAAAAAACGCTAACTGGGATATATTCAGCATTAAGCAAATCAAAATGTCTTTGAAACCCCATTTTTATCATCTGAATTTTCCCAATTTTAGAGAGTTGCGCTCCGTTGATAAGTGAACAACTCGTTAATTGCATATTTTATATGGTATATAACTATTATTTCACGCCCGTTGATATAATCATCCTAACCACTTCCCTTTTAAAGATAAAGTTGATCATCTCTGGTAAATGTTGTACGTGTGGATATAATTTGGTAAAAACTTGAATTGCAACTTAACCCACTAGCCCCCTGATTCATCTGTTCAACTGACTGGGCAAATGGTGCCTTGTCTTATATGAATAAACTCTCGCTCGTGGTTCCGTCTCCCGTGCAAGCACGAAACTTCCCTAGAACTCAAGTTCACATTCACCCGCACCCTCACGTCACTATTGTGAGCGTTACAGTCTCCAATATAGGATGCCGCGCCGAGAAGATGACGAGGACCTGCTCCAGTACATGGTCCCTGGCAGTACGCTTGACGACATCATTACTGACGACGATGATGATGAGTTTGACGCGTACTTCGACGTCGTGGAGAACAATAAAACGGGCACGGCGCCTATGGTGGTGGCGAGCAATGCCACACAAGCGAACGCTCAAGGTGGTGCAACTTCGTTGGCTAAATTCCAGCCTGCACAACACAAGAATGCGAATGCCAGTGTCCTAAACCGAATTCGCATCGATGAATTCTACGAAGGGCACGGTGGGGGTGCGAGCGGAGGTGCGAAAGCCAACCAGCGCGTGCTTAACGAGCTGCGTGACATGACCATAAGCAGCCGCTTTGCCTCCAGTCAGTCCCCGAAGAACGTGGACCGCTCGGAGCGTGCGACAGTAGAGAATGTAATGGACCCGCGCACGCGGCTCATCCTATATAAGCTAGTTAACACGGGTATTCTATTCGAAATCAACGGGTGCGTCTCCACCGGGAAGGAAGCGAATGTGTACTACGCCGTATCTGGTGATGGTAGCCCCGTCGCGCTCAAGGTCTTCAAGACCTCCATCTTGGCTTTCCGTGATCGAGACCAGTACGTTTCTGGCGAGTATCGCTTTCAGCGATACTGCAAGAGCAACCCACGCAAGATGGTGCGCACCTGGGCCGAGAAGGAAGCCCGTAACCTCAGTCGCCTCCAGGACGGCGGCGTCTTGGCCCCGGCAGTGAAGCTCCTGAGGCATCATATCCTCGTGATGGAGTTTCTCGGCGAGGATGGCTGGCCTGCGCCGCGGCTGAAGGAAGTGCACTTCCCCTCCCACGCTGCCCTGGATCGCTGTTACCTGGACCTGTGCTGCACGATGCGCAAGATGTATGCACGCAGTCGGCTCATACATGGCGATCTCTCAGAGTACAATCTGCTTCTCTATCGCGGGCGTGTTGTTGTGATTGACGTATCACAGTCGGTTGAGAGCGACCACCCGCGTGCCATGGACTTCCTGCGGCGTGATATTATCAACGTGAACTCGTTTTTCGCGTCCCAGGGGCTCGCCAACCCCTTCACCCTGCAAGAGCTTTTTCACTTCATCACGGCGGCATCGGCGCCTTCTGGATGGCGATGCTGTACCGGCCCCCAAAACGAACAAGAGCTGCTGACGCACCTAAAGGAACTCCGTGAGTGGAAGCAACAGGAGGGTGAGGATACGATCGCCCAGAGCGAGAAGGCCAAGGTTGACGAACAGGTGTTCCTGAACATCGCAGTGCCGCGAACACTAAACGAGATTTCCGATCGAAGAGCCCCCAACGAGGAGGTGGCACCCTTCGTGGAGGGGATGATTGCCCCTGGAAGGCGTCAGGTAGCAGGGGACACGGCGCAATGTGCCGAGGCGCCGCTCAGCGAGGGGAGCTCCGAATGTGAGCAGGCTAGTGACGACGGGACAGCCGGGAAGGAGGTGCGGAATGACGCGGTCGGTGAAAAGCGCAGGAACAGGGTCCCCGCGGTGGAGTCACGGACGCTAGCAGAAATGACTAAGGAAGAGCGCAAAGAACATCGCAAAGCCGTGAAGGAGGCCCAGCGGAAACGGCGTGTGACAAAGAAAAAGGATGCGTCGAGGAAGGGGAAGCACCACAAGCACTGACCCGTAGCTGGATTCGTTGTGCGACCTACTTACTCACGGCAACTATGCGCTTTTGTGTTGCCCTTGTATTTGGTTGAATGGCTGCTTTGTTTTATTTAAGAATAATAATATGCTTACATAAACTAATTTTAAAATGATTCTCATTCTGGATCTCTGGTATTGTCTTTAATTCATTAATATAATATATGATAAGGAAGAATGCGTGAATCATGCACTAAGAGTCTAAAATAATCAAAGACACTTTTCAAATGTAAAGAATTTGATCCTTCCATCAATATAGCTTTGCAATACAACTTGCACAGGAGACACCCCAATTATCGTCTTCACAGGTGAAATCAAATTAATATACTGCAGATAAACATCCTATTTGTATTTTAACAAAATTATTTGTCTTGTTAATAACGCACAAAAAATGAAAACTATTAACCATTCTTGTACTGTAAAGTAATAATTTCTATTTAAAAGTAGTTCATTTTCAAATATCTATGCATCTATGTGTTTAAATACATCAGTAACAAGAAAATGGTGTTAAATGCTAAGATTGTTTTGCTCTATACTACTAAACGCATCGATCTGGGATATATGTGTCGGAGCTTTGATGTTTATGATAACGTTCATTTCTGCATATAAGAAAGCAGCAATCCTTCCTTCATTTATCGAACTTCTCTGTTTTGGACAGCTATTATAAGCTACATTACAGTTCAATAAAGAAATATACTTTGCAATATATTCCTTTCAAGAATAAATTCGTGTAGCAACCATGCACTATGCTATGCCTTCGCAATATGCTAGATATAATATCGAGCCAAAGTCTGAGCCAGCGCCGTCACCGATGTTGCGTCATAATTTTGAGGATCCCAATTTCGCGCCCAGCGGCCCGCACTCGCTTTCACACTCTGCAGCTCCGGATCAGAATTTTCACAACCCTGACAGTATTCGTGCATTTCTGATAGATATCGGGCATACCAGCAATCACGCCTTTGATTTTGATCACCCCTCAATTCCACGGATGCTGCCCCAGGACTTACAGCATGATCTAGCCCTTTCCTTCCCAGCCCCGGTGTACATCAAACCTGTAAGCATGAGCAGCGTGTGTCCTACGATGCATGTATTTCCTTCAACATCACAGCTCTCGGACTCGTTGCAGCTTCCACTTGGTATCATTATAAGTCCGTTCGCGGATCCGAACGTGGCGGAGGTGGACTTCTCTGAGGTAGGTAATCGTGTGATCCGCTGTCGCAAATGTAGCGCGTATATCAACCCCTTCACCACATTCTGCGACCGTGGCTCTCGCTGGCAGTGCATCCTATGCCGCCACCTCAACGAAACACCGAAACCCTACATGAGCGACCTGAACTCCGCTGGCCTGCGGGAGGATCTCATGAACCGCCCAGAGCTCACCAACGCCTCAGTAGACATCATTGTGACACCGGAGTTTTTGCGCAGCCCACCACACCGCCCGATTCAGTTGCTGATGCTTGACTGCTCCTACCAGGCGGTTTCCTCGGGGCTCTTGACCGCCATGTGCCAGGGTGCGCTGCGAGCCCTGGAGGCCATGAAGGACGACGAGGTAATGCACATGGGTATTGTTGGCTTTGATACAACCGTATACTTCTTTGACATCCGCGCTAGCCTCAGTATGCCGTGTATGATGGTGGCACCTGACACTGTTAATGATATCGCTAACATAGACGACAAATTCAAGATAGAACCAGTGGAACTACCCTGCTCGATAAACTCTCTTGTCGTGCCCATCAAAGAGTCATACCGCATGCTGCGAGAGGTACTTGAGAAGCTGCCTGGTATGTTCGCAAATACCGAGGAAGTAGGCTGTGCCTTTGGTCCTGCCCTTAGCGCCGCCGTCACAATGCTTGAAAACAATGGTGGGAAAATATTCACGAGTATTTCCTCCATCCCTTCTATCGGTGAGGGCAAACTCAAACACCGCTTCAATGTCGAAAAACTTTCCAAGCAGCCAAAGGAGTACACTATGCTCACCCCTGCCAACGACTGGTATAAGGAACGAGCCCTTGCCTGCTCCTCGAGTGCTATCTCCATCGACATCGTAGCCCTAGATAATGGATGTGGTGGTGACCTTGACCTTGCTACCATTGCTCCGCTCGTTCGTTTTACTTCCGGTCATCTATATCGTGCTACTACGCTAAATATGCGTGGGGTAGCAGCGCAGGTTGAACGCATGTTGATGCGCTTTATTGCATTCGATTCGGTACTACGTATTCGAACTTCTAACGGGATGGTCATACCGAACTTCTACGGACACTGCCATGTGCGGGAGCCAGATCTGCTTTCCCTGCCTGTCAGCGATGAGGATGCGTCCTATACAACGGAATTCACCATCGGAAAGAAGATAAATGAAGCGTTCGTATACGTTCAGTTCGCAGTGATGTACACGACACGGTCTCGTGAAAGGCGAATTCGTGTTCACACTGTGCAGCTACCCGTGTCCTCGTCGATGCGTCAAGTCATCAATTCTGTTAACTCCATCGGCACCGCCCTCTTCTTTACGAAAATATGTGTTGATGCGTGCACCAGTAGGCCTTTTGAACAAGCTCACAAGCTTATCACCGACCGCCTCTTTACGGCCCTCTCGTGCGCACAAAAGGAGTTAGAAAAAGAAGGCCGGCGAGCCAACACCAGACAAATGCTCATGCCAGACAGTATGAAGTTCATCCCACAGATTCTCAACGGGTTCTTTCGCTCCTACGCAACGGGTTCCCCTAGTGCGGGTGCAATCTACCCTGATGCACGCGTTACCGCTATCGCGGCCGTGATGTCCTCACGTCCGGAATCGATGATCCCTGGCTATCTGTGCTGGTCCTACCAGATCTACTCTCCGCACACTCCTATCGAGATGGGGCCGGCTCCTATCTTCTCCAGTAAACATTATCTTTCCTCCTACAGTATAACCCTTACGGTGTTAGATGATATGATTGTAATGTGGTATGGTAAGAAAGCGAACCCTATCGTACTGCGAGCCTTTGGACTCGGAGCGGTGGATTCGGATCGGGAGCTGGAGCCCAACGATCAGGTTCTGTTGCCAGAAGATATCCAAGGTCTGCGCAAACGTACGGAGGACCTACTAAACTACCTCCAGACCATCCAAGCACCAAGCTTCAAAGCGCAGTGTGAAGCATGTCCACAAGGTAGAGGCGATATTGAATCTAGTCTAATCAGAGGGATGGTGGAAGATAGCTCCCAGACTCTGATTTCATACAAGACTTACCTTACTGAGTTGTGGAAACGTCTCTCGGTTTAAAAGCTGTAGATAAATGCGTAACAATAATTTTTTGTGTTGTTGTAGGCTTGATCTGTTTAATTGAGGTTTTATTTTTAAAATCGATGCGTCGTATCGCATACTTTGTCGTCTGAAGTATGTGATTATTTTATTAACTGTATGCAACATGGTGCCTCTATTCAAATCTTTAAAAGTAAATATTGAAATATCCATGGGGTGTGCTTATATCAGATGATCAAACAAAAATGTCCACATATTTTTTTTCCTTTACTTGTAAAGTGAAAAAAAGTATAAATTGAAGTTCTGACCTATCTCGTAGCTGAAAAGTGTAGTAGAAAGTTAATTGAAATAAAAATAAAATAGTACATCTACACGCACGTGCTCAATTGGTTCTCGTAGATTTCGAGTTTGAATATCGTGCATATATTTCATTTATTCGACACATATATCTAAGTGAACAAGAAGCCAGAACGAATTCCACAATTAAATTCACGTCAGCAGACAACTATGAGGGAAAGAGGAATGACGATACGCAAGTATGGGGTTTTCGTGGCATTATCGTTCCTCGTATTACTCATCTTTTCATCAAGTGAAGCAGTTGCTGATACTGATAAATTTTTAGTACAGCGAAGTCGTGAAGAGCAAATCCAGCTTTGGGAGTCCAAACTGATAAAATTGCGTCAGAATGAGTTAAATGATGCACTTACTAGGTTGCATCGTGCAAATGCTGACCTGGAAGCCGCTAAAAAACGACAAGGCTTTTTTTACACTTCTCCAGAGTTACGTGCTACTATTCGTTCTCTTGACGAAGATGTCTCAAAAAGTCTTATCGAGGTCAAGAACATCAAGGATCGCGAAAAGCTGATGCTGAGCAAGCTAAAACCTTTATACGGTGTGCTTTCCACTCAATTTGTGCAGGAGCAGAAGGAATCGATTGCCCATGCCATCTCAACCGTTCAGAAAATTAGCTATGACAACGCTTGGTACAGTTCCCTATTCCGTGTAGGTGAGGCTGAGTCACTAACGGATCTCATTTTAGGCTTCTTACTCGAGTGGTTGATGGGATACATTATTTTATACCCTTTCGCTGCGCTATACTACGCTCTGTGGGTGGCTCCGTGGAGCGTATATGCGTACTGTTCCGGCTTCTCAGGCATTGTGCCTGCTTTAGTGGCATACCTCATCTCGGTCATTATCATGTTTTCCCCACTTTTCATATTGATCGGTGGGGTTTATCTGATATATAATAAGCATTTTAGAGGTATATCCAATTTGTCGAGACGAGCTAGGTATCGCAATTTATTTCATGAAGACTAGAGGAGACAAGCAGGGAGAAAAAGTCAAGAGGCTGGGGGCGTGCAGAAAGTTATGCTAAATGCTCAAGTGGTCAATTATTTCAACTCATTGACAACAAAATTATTATTCAAGTGTTTTGGGACATGTGGAATTACAATTTTATTCCTCACTGTCCTTCTAAATTTACACAGCTCAGGGCAAGAAGGATTATAAAGATTTATAAATTATTATCGTTGCATGTAGTACACATGCACTGATGTTCATGAGCTACAGAAGTGATCGTCCAAAGATGTGGAAGCTCATGGAATGTTTTAAATTCAGGTGATCTTGCCACGAGCTTTGTTATATTGTTGTTACTATTGTCATAGATTTCCGGCGTTGTGCGTGTGTATATTGATTGTAACCCTTTCTCTTTCTCCCTTTATTTCTATCTAAAATTAGAAAGCTGATATATATATATATATATTATGTCGGCCTTCCTTCTCGTTGATTTTTATATTCCTTTCTCGTTTTTTCAGTAAATTGCAAAGGAAAAAGTGGTTAATTGAACATTTGATAAACAGCCACAACTTTGGTGAAAGACGAAACACTTGTTACTACAGTTATTACGCAAAATGAGTGCCTCCAGTCTCATCATTCCTCAGCCTCTTGCAGATGTTCTGCGAAATCATCAAAAAGAAGCACTTCATCTGATGTGGAAGCGCTTGGTAGATGATGGGATTCTCGGCATGGCCATTCGATCTCGCACAACTACGATCGAGCAGCGGGTGTTACTCTACCACGAGGTATATGGTTACATTATAGGGCACTCTATGGGTCTTGGAAAGACCCTTACCACTCTCTGCTTTATAATGCTTCTGGAAGCTCGGATACGGGCGTTACTCACCGCGCATCCCTCAGCGCCACAAAATGATAACCTCATCAAAAATAATATAAATGGGCGTCTTAGCCATCCTGATTATTGTCCTTCCTTGCGTATATTGGTGATATGCCCTAAAAGTCTAGTTCTGCACTGGCAAGACACCATCGATGAGTGGGTGCGTCCAGAACTATTCGAAGATGTACGATTGCCAGTTTATATTCCCAGCACAACGCACGCTGATGCATTGCCAGATATGTTGACCATGTATTATCGTGAGGGAGGCATCCTCATTTCGGGGTATGAGGAGTACCTATCTCTCACAAAAAACTTTTCACAAGCGCACACTGGTGCCGCAACACCTCTTCATCGCACCGCGCCGCTAGATCGAGTCTGGTCTGTGGTGGATCGTATTCGGCGCGTTCTCCCGCTGCAGCCCAAGGTGCAGTTTTTGGAGGTATTGGAGACTGCAGACGTTGTCGTCCTCGATGAGGCTCATCGTCTGCGGCAGGCGACCTCCAAGCTAGTTCTTGCTCTGCGTCGCCATCTACACAATATGCAGCTTCGGGTAGCCCTTACCGGCACACCCCTTCAGAACCATCTTGAGGCGTATAATGTTATGCAGTCCATAGTGACAGGTAAAGATCTTGACAGCGCAGAGTTCCATAAGTGCTTTACTATTCCAATCGAATTAGGCCAGTGTGTGGATGCTACCTACAATCAATTTATCGAAATGCAACGCTGTGTGGCATCGTTGCGGCGATACTTCTCCACGATCGCTCACCACTGTGGCCCAGAAGTGCTTGAGCAAAGCCTTCCACCACGTCGAGAATTGACTTTCTTTTTTCGCCTCTCCCCACAACAAGAGGAGCTCTACAAGCAAATGCTATCGCAGTTCCTGAATCGCCATTTAGCTAGGGAGTCCAAAGCGCTCACGCTGCATCACTGCGCCTCCCATATCAGCCTCCACCCTAACTTGGTGGACCAGACAGCAAACTGTACAAGGCAGCCGCTTACCGCATCCATGCAGGACGCCAGCAATGCAGAATGGCAAAAAGATTCTTCTGGACTCGAATCCGAAGCTGACGAAGTGGAGGCGGATACCGCAGCCGCGTCAGTGGTGGCGTCTGTGGATCTTGGTCATTCACCCAAGTTACGCTTTGTTGTGGAACTTATTCGCATCATCGTAAGCGCCTCAACAGACGAAAAGATTGTTGTTTTCTCACACTACGTACAGCACTTGGTCTTCCTACAACGCGTCTTGTCAGTGATATGTGGTGTTGCACCGGGCATCCTCAGTGGCAGCTCCTCTGATACTAGGCGACGAGCGTTAATAACGCAGTTCCAAAAAGAGCCCAGTTGCCACATCCTTCTCGCCTCAGTGCGGGTAGGCGGCGTCGGCATCAACCTTTCGGTCGCAAATCACTGTGTTTTGCTCGACGTTGGGTGGAATCCTACAGACGATAGCCAGGCGACCTACCGTGTATACCGCCTCGGCCAGACGCGACCTGTCACCATTTACCGCCTCGCGACCTACGGTACCTCAGAGCACATCGTGTTCTCCTACGCCTTACAGAAGTCATGGCTTCACAAAAAGGTCGCCGATGTGATCGATCCGACGCGGCAGGAGCGTCACGTGAAGGACAGCTACTTCTTCTACCCCTGTTCCCTTCCACTACCCAATGGGGCGCCACAGGAGGAACGGGGCGCGTACTGGGCCTCGTTCTGCCAAAGGGAGTGCCCATACGCGGCACAGGCCCTAAAAGCGTCTGTGACGCCGAGCCTGATGGACAGCCTCTACGCCGTGATCTCACACAGCTTTCTCCTGCGTGACAACGAGGACGAGGTGGTGAGGGAGGTTGGGAAACGACTTATCTTGGAGCGGCGGGAATCAGAGTCCCTCGTGCCGATTCCGCTCGTGGACGCCGAGGACGCGACGCACGACCTGTCCGAGGGCGGTAGCAGCTCAACTAATCTGGTGGACCTCTGTGAGGAAAAGTTAGTAGATATTGCTAGAAGGGCTGCTAATCACTGTGTTTGGTATGTGATGCGGCTTCATCGACAGGATGACTGGGAAGCGGCGGCTAATGGGAATGATGACAAGGCAGATGCTGTAAGGAAAAGGGATGCTTCTGAGATACACTGTCGGCTGGCATGTGCTCTGCTTCCCTTTGTCGCTTCTTCACAATCGAGACCACCCCACGGCGCTTCTGTATCGTTGGTAGAGGTGTTGCTTGCGATGTATCAAAAGGGGGTGCACAACGCGCTGAGCCTCCACCTCAGCACAAGTCCCTACATGAGGATGCGCACCTACCTGGCAAGTATCGTTCCGCAGACAGGTCGCAACCAACGCTCTACCATGGCGAAAGGATTGTTGGAGGAAAAGCTGCTCTTCCGACCATTCCATCTTCTGCGAGCTGTAGGCGAGCTTGAACAGTTGTATTTGGCTACAGAGATGGGCTACACTCGTCCGCTTGTACCACAGTGTTTCCTTGATGGTACCCTCACCTGCGCTCGTGAAGGTATTGGTTTACAAGATCAATCTGAGAGTGCCCTGAAAGAACTTGCTAATCTCTTGAATGTGTACCCCTCATCGTATGGAAATGGCATTTGTGACGCCGATGACAGGGATTACCTCCAGTTGGTCCGAAATAACGTCATAAACGAGCTCGACCGCTGTTTTAATGATATATGGCCTTCCTGTGGAGGCTTCGTGCTGCCTCCTCTAGTTGTAAATATTGAGGTTGAGGAAAAGTTGATGCTGTGTGCCTACACTGCAGCTGATCAAGACGCAGGCGGTATATTCACGATCTCAGAAGTAGCTGAGCATCTGCAACTGCGGAGGTACCTAGGTATAAAGACACACGAAAAGCTGTATGCCTGCAATAGATGTCGGCGGACGTACCTAGAGCGGGTTTCGGATGTAGTATTTGAGTGTGCCCTCTGCCATTATAACATTGAGTTCGAAATTAAAAGCAACATGAGCTGCCAGCAGCGTGCTACACTATATCAGTGGTCTGTAGTTTGCAATCTGTTGGATGCCTTCTCGATTTCCAAGAGCTTCAGCGTACCCTTCTCACCCGCTGACTTTCCGTCAGTTTGGGATGTGCTTTGTCGTCTGCGCGGCCCACGCCCTGTATTTCATTATGTGCAGCGGTGCATGACGGAAGGCGTCAACGCTCTGCTGAGCGACTTCACAGACCAATGTATCCAACTACTTTCACTTCAGAGTGGTACTGGTGAAGATCGGGAGCTTCTGCGCCACCTCCTGTGTTGTGGTGCGCGCATGGTGTGGGGCAGAAGTCTGCGAAAGCACCTTCGTGAAGCCCTCTCACGGTGTTTTAAAGAGCTGGTGCATCCCAGCTCTCTGTCCAACCTCACCTCGATGCCTCTGATGTGCCTCATTCTCGCTCTTTACCACGCAGCGCGGCACGAAGGTGTAAATTTCGCTTCTGAGCTGCTGACCAATGACGGAACAGAGTGGTGCGGGCGTCGTGCGCTTCTGCGATTTGCATGTGATGGATTGGTCAAGATGCTGTATGCGGAGAAGCTGATAGAGCATTGCCGTGAGATCCCAAACACTACAACAGAGCCGACTGCAATGTCTTCGTCGGCCTCCTCCTCACCATCCCCATCACTATCTTCGGGCTTACCCAGAGAATCTGTGGATTCCACCTCATTCTCACGAGATTCCTCACTCCTATCTCAACATAGGATCTCTCGGGGCAGCGAGAATAGCGAAGACAGCGTTTGGCCACCCCGAAAGCGGCAGAAAGGTGTGCCGAATTCGAACGACTCGAGCATGGACAGGGGGACGCAGGCATCGTCATCATCCTTCGGCTCTTGCTACTCTTCTGATCGCAGCAGCTTTCCTGATTCCCCCACGCCTGGTAGAAACGAGGCACAGGACGAATTTGGAAAGGAGGAAAAGACCGCAGAGCAGCTAGAAAGCGAGGCAGTGTTACAGCAACGCTCCACACAGTATTGGGTTGCGTTCTGTGAAGTGTATGGCACACAACTTGTGGAGACGCTCAAGGTGTACGTTGAGGACGAAAACCTCGGCATGGTGTTGCTGTCCCCACCGCCCCCCTACTTTTGGGTCTCGCATCTGCTAAAGGCCTCTAGCCAGGGTACGACCATTTCTACTGTTATTGACTCTTTCCTTACCAAGATGCTTGAGCTCTCCGTGCACGTTCGTTTGATAAAGTGATGAGTAGAGTTTTTCGTTTCTTTATGTTGCTTCACTTCTGCACCTCACAATGACACTTATCAAGGGTATTATTTTAAACAAGGTGACCTACTACACCTTTTCCTTTGGATTACACGCAAAGCTGCTCATGAGTGCATATACATAAATACACATAGATGCATATGAAGAAAAATAAACCCCACAAAGATAATAAAAGTATCGATCGTGGTGCAAATATACCTGCCGCTGTTAGAAGGAGCGCGGTGGGGAAGATTGTTGAAAGGTACTTTTGAATCATTCAAATTATTATTTTCTTTCTATTCAATACCCTTTATCGATCCATCTTTTTGTTTGTTTGTGTATGTGCGTATTTTCCCCTTCTTGATGACAGTGGTAGAAGATAAGAATATCCCACACATCAATCAGGGGTGGGGTGGGTTTCAAGACAGCAACACAGTTTTAGAAGCAAGTCCCCAACCCTTTGAAAATATTATTATTAATTCAATTATAAACTTTCCACTGTATATATGGACGATTACAATGACTCCTTTGAGCAGACCTCCTCATCATCTTCAGACAGCGGTAACGCAGAAGCGGAGAACCTGGAGACGATACCATCAGCTGCGACGGAGGCCTTAGACTCATCCGTATCGCAAACCCCTGCCGTACCGGTCCCTCAATTTGTGAACAGCACGAACGATGCGCGCATCGAAGCACCTACACCGGATATGGTGCAGGAAGTGACCCAACATAGTTTCCTCACTCAAGGATCGACGATGTCGTCAACGGACTCCTTGCCCAGTTACGGGGCCCTCGCAGAAAGGCGACGGGCGGCGATAAATGCAGTGGATGAACCTAAGTTCCAGTTTCTCTCAAACTTCAAGGCCTTCGATAGTATCTCGCACAGTCCCATGGACACTCCCCTCATAGAAGGTGGGCTCGCTTTCACTCCAGTGCATTCAGGCAAAGAGGTGAGTCTCAGTGGTGCGAATCACTTGTCGGTCACTAAAACAAACGTAACTCAATCATTCTCCAAGAATGATATGAAACGGAAATTTACGAAAAAGGATTCCACGCTTCGAGAAGATAGCAGCAGTGTCTTCAGTACTCTCTCGCAGCATTTAAAAACGGCAAAACAAACACAGGTAGTCCTGGAGGCTGATCCAAGAGCTGCCTCCGTGCCTCATGAAGCATCTCTAATCCAAGATGTTGACCGTGAAATACAATATGATCCGCCCAACCCAGATTCTGCTGTACATCCAGTGGTCATCAAACCATCGGTAAAGGATATCAAATCCGCACCCCCTATCTGTGCTTCGCTCCCAAACCTACCACCGTCTTCCTTGCTCATGAAGAACATCGAGGAGGCTGACCATAAGCCATCAAATCCGCCTATGACGACTCCGACAAGTAACATGCTGATCACCACTGCTCACGAGGCGGTACCGCCACTACCACCTCCTCGGATGGTACAGCTATCCCCCGAAGCCCAAACATTTACTATAGATCCGAAGTTGTTAGAGCTTCGCGAAACTTCTGAGGCGGTGGAGCGTTTGGTCAAGGCCTTCGCTTTGTTGCGAGGGCAGTTCACAGAACAAGCTTCCCCTGACAACGCTTCCTTCCCGCCGTCGTTTCAGACCTCAGCAAAGGAAACGTTGACCTCAACCGCGTATCACAAAGTTCGCGGCGACACGACCGTGCGTGCCATTTCGACGAGAGCCCCCATGCAACCCCCTTATGTTATAGCCTCACATCTGAATTCGCCACCATCCGTCCAGCATCCTCCTCCACTGACTCCCAGCTTGTCTGAGGATGAAATAACTGCGCTAAAAGCAAATGAAGCCAAGGTGGAGGAAACACTCATGGTGTGCGTGCTTGAAATGCTGAAACGAGAGCTGGCTAATCCTCAACGTGTGCAAAGATTAGTAGATAGCCTAAAGGCTCGACCTCCCCATGAAATCATCACAGCTGATGAATTCAAGGCAAATTCGGTTTCTTTTGGTAGTAGGACGGGTGCTACTACTGCATGTGGTGAAAGTGTCCTACACCACAAAAACATTTACTCTGTCTTTGACAGCGACATGTGTGTGTTCGATGGCTCCGATGAAGATGCCGCGTCGGCGCTCTTCAATTCCATCCAAGAAGCGATTCATAAATACGTCTTCCATCACGTGGTGAACGGTATCGCGACGCGCCCTCTGACAACGAAGCAGCGGACGGTCTCTCCCATAACGCCTCACTTCTCCTGGATTCTATTGCTAGACCTATTAGCTGTGTGCGAGGAGATCACGGAGCTGGGCTTTGCTAGGGGTGACACAGCCCCCATGGGGCCATTACTGGTACGCTATAACGGAGATGACGGCTGCGAGTTCATCGCGCGTAATGCGATACAGTGTTTGCCTTTTGAAGTCCTTGAAACGGTTGGCGGGACGGAAAGGCGAAAGCCGGTCTTCCGGCTCGATTTTTGGGTCACAAAGGACAAAATGCGCGTCATAACGGCCGCCATCACGGACTGCATTCGCCAAAATATCGTGCACGAGGCGAGAGTTCGGCCCTACATGGGACTGCTTGAAAACGACTTGGAAATCGATCCTACCGTACTGGTTCCATCGAAAGGGCGTTTGTTCTCGTTCATAAAACCAAATACGCTAGGTAACACAGTTTGTACAACTGCTTGGGATGACGATACCTCATATAGGCATGGTGGGTGGTCATCCAAGGTCTACATGCAGAAGCAAGGCTCGATAAAGCACGGCAAAGACCTTGAGGATAGTGAAAGCACGTTTGGGGTGGATCAGAAGGCACTTCAGCAGATGGCCTATGCCGTGTCGGTGATATCAACTGATGTTCTAGCTTCTTTCGCCTCATCTGAGGGAATAAAAACACCGAGTGTCTACCCGTCCTTCCGCAACACTTCCAACTACGAGGACCTTTCCAAAGCGGTTGCTGAGACAGTATGTGAACTTCTGAATGATACTGCGGTAAAAGCATCCATAGAACGGCGTGCGCGTGATAAGTTTGTCCAGATGTTGAAGGAAAAGAAAGAATATCCAGGAAAAAATCATCTGGAAAAGGAACGCCTAGTTATCGAGAGGGCGGAAAAGGAGGCCGAAGACATGATTAAACGCATAGTGCAACAAATGTCTCTGAAGACCTGTGATAAATGAAATAAGGTGTCCTGTCTTTAAGTTGCATGCACGCACGCAAAAAAAAAATATGATAAAGCATGTCCATACACGTACAAAATGGCTGTTATTGATCCATAGAAGCAATTTTGTGCACGAACCATATGGTTTTCCGCAGAGAGATGTGGCTTATGGTGTAGACGATCTAGAAAATCCCGCTTGATAGCGAAACATATATTTTAAAAGACAAAATTATTTGTGCCTATCTTCGGCTATACTGAAGAGGAGAAATAGACTTTCTAACATTGGAGTGAGCAGTGATGCCGCTGATTAGGTTGATCTTTCAAGTGATTGTTCTATGATTTACTTCTTCTTTCCACGGCACACCAAATACTCCCTGAATACTAATACTACTGTATCGAGCCACACAAAATATTAAAAGAAACTCTTCAACTCAGAGCTTGTTCTTTAACCGGTGTATTATGGGTGGTCGACGTGAGGTGTCGCCGCCTCTTCGACCCCTTTCGAGCGCAGAGTCATCTTATAGTGACTCTTCCGATGGGTATCCCACACGTAGTAAGGAAAGGTGGCGCTCCGGGGGATCGCACTCGCACCATCGCAGTCATCACTACAAATCTTACAAGAAACAGCGACACGAGAGTAGTAGCCACGACGGGAACCGCTCTCGACACCATCATCGTCGTCGCAATGAATCCCGTAGGACGGCTATTGCTCTGCGCATCAGCAGTAGTAGTAGTAGTAAGAGTAGATCCACTAGTGCCAGCACCAGTGGCGACAATGAGAGAGACGAAGCAAGGGCTGAAGTAAAGCCACAGTCGGATTGGGTATGTGGGGTGTGTAGCAACCTTAACTCGACGCAACGCTCGGATTGCTATCGCTGCGAAGCCACCTACGTACAGAGCAGACGTGCGAGGCCATCCGCCGAGGTGTGCATTCATGGTGTCCCTGACGACTGCACGTCTCAGGACCTCGAAGCTGCTCTAAAGGATGCCTTTGTTAGGCATGGAGAGCTGTTAGACGTGTCCATAGGTGTGGAAAAACATGGGACGGTGTGGTATGTCCGATTTCCATCGAGCTTTGAGTGCACAAAGGCTCTCATCTTCTGTCATTGTCGCCTTCCCCTTGGAAATACAAGTTGCAGTATGGAATTCTCGAAGAAGTCTAAAGGCGCAACCTCAGCATACCGCATCTCCCCAGATCAGCAGGCATCCCACGAGGTTGGAGCACTGTCGAAAACTGTTGAACAGCTACCGTTTGAGTTACAACCTTCGCATTGGAAACCTCCGTCTGATTTTAGCTCTGTCAAGGCAAGGAAAGACTACCTTGAAACGCTCTCTGCGCACTGGCAATATCTGTCCGAAACTCAAAAAGTATACTACGATGAGGAAGTCAAGCAAGTCCTACTGCACCCCAGCGCTAACGTTCAGAATGCCGAACAAGAACGAGAAGAGAACTTAGGGGTGGCTAGCATGAAGAAGGATTCTGCTGTCTCCGCAGAAGCAACACCTAATCCGATAGAAGCCCTCAAGCGTAAACTGGAGGAAAAAAAAAAAGAATTGAGTAAGGAAATAAGTGGGCCGCAGTTACCTAACAATCGAAACAGCGGCAGCAAGCCCACGAAAGCTTCGACTACGTCCGATGCCGTCCTTCAACTAAAACAGCGATTGGCTCAGAAAAAGGCTCAGATCGCTGCTGATGGTCGGCATTCGCGCAGCACAAACACTACACCGAACGCTCCAGATAAGAACGTAACGAATGGTAAACAGAATAACTGCAGTAATGATAAGGCCTGCAGCGGTGATGGTGTTGGGCCCTCGGTCACGCAACCGCTACGATACATTCACGGATTTCCCGTTCCTCCCCTTTACAATGTGGAAAAATCCCTCAGTAACGGTACTATTTCATTTCACTGTATCCCAAGCGCAGTAGCATCTCGCGTGCTGCCTTTGTATTTGTCTAACGTGTTGAGTGATGGGAAGTAGAGAGATATAAGCTGTATGTTCCGGAGAATCAAGATGCTGATAAGACATAGTAATATAGGTTAGATATTCATGCAATAAATAAAAGCAGTTTTCCGAGAGGTACCCGTGTGAACCGCGCTTGAGAAAATGGAAAAAATCTCTGCGTGAATAAAAACAGAGCGATAGTACGGGGTAACTTTACTACTACTATGATATTGTATTCTTGGCAAAAGTCCACTTAATCAATTTCAAAAAATGCTCTTCTGAAGGTATTTTCCCATCAAAAAATCTTTTACATTACAACATACTTGAAAAAGACTTTTGCACATATTGGTTAATTTCACGCATCTGTGTGTGTAAACAACAACAAAGAAGGGGGGGACGTAAAAACGAATGTCGCGCGCGAAACGACATGTCGAATGGGATGAAGCAAATCTAATCGCGAATGCCGAGTATCATCGCCTCCATCCCGTCACAAAGCCAATCGATGAGCCGAAGACTCCATACGTGTATGGTGACGATGGTGGTATGGACACGGATGAGGATGAGCGGAAGGAGGCGCCGCACGATGACTCGTGGGACCCTTCCACCAATTTATTCGTTCGGAAGCTGAAGGAGAAGATTCAGGACTCCACTGATGGGAAGCCTGTGGCTCCGATTAGCAGTTCTGGGAGGCCTATGCTGCTGCCTGGGACAGCGACCGGGGAGCTCGAGAAGAAAAAACACGAGCACGAATTTAAGATGATGCGTCGTGCGGTCTACGCAGACGAGGGCATTAAATTTAGGGAAATGCTCGCCCGCAAGCACGACGACGACGATGAGGATTAAATAAGTGGGTGCGTGTAAACAAATAGCTTTGGTGTTACGAGAAATAAAAATAACATAAATGATAGAAACGCATCATCGTTGTATTCTTTACAAGTAGAAAAATAAATGAGTAAGCATCACGGCGGAAGTATAGACAAACACAAAAAAATTGTGAGCGCATTATTTTGATCTTCCTTTTGATAAGATTACAGTTATATTTGCTGTTTTCTACTTCATCAAAGTTTGATACAAAAGGCCTCCTAAAGAAATGCAAACTCTGAGAATGAAAATTGCTTGTTTGTTGCCCTCAAGGAAGGGAGACATATATTATTATTTTTTTGTGTGTCCAATACTTTATTTTGGTCGGAATTTTTCTTTTGCATGTTGCCTAAAATTTTACCAGACTTCCTTTGCCTGCACTATTCATAATAATCTATTATATATGAATCGCAAGATCAAGCAGTTCAATGGTAAGCTATTATTCACACATTTTTGCGTGAAACTCATTCTCTTTTTAATCTATATTTACACTAATACTGTCACTTGCAAGATACCTTGTGCAATGCGTTTCTTCACGGAATCCGGACAGGCAAGTTTGTACATGTACAATGTGCTAAAATACTTTCCAAAATTCTAAATCGTAATAGTCTCCAATCAGAATCTCAAAAACATGTACTAATGGCATTTTTTATCCCATTGATGGGAAGTATTCATTGGTGACCCCTCTGTTTTATGCTTTCAGGGTTATTCTGACCTGTTCATCTGAGAAGCATATAAACTAGGACAAGCGAAACTACATATATTTATCTCCGCAATGTCTTTACTTCTTTTAAAAAATACAAAGATTAGCAAAAATGTCAGCTCAAAAGGTGGTGTGTTCACTTTCCAGTAGGCTTGTTGGCTACAGTATACAAACTTTTTCCCTTTGTATGCTGCACTCGATCTTTAGCGCTTTTTACGTAGACTTTTTTCTACGCTGTAAGTTGTTCACATATGTTCATAAGGAAAACACGAATGAGCATTACATCTCTGACTTAAAGTCGGCATCGCTATGGCACCTTGTAATCGGACAAGCAGGCTATATGGTGTGGAGTAGCCTAGCCGACGTTGGATTGAGTTGCTTAAGCAATGTCCAACTAAAAGTAGACAACTCACTACGGCTTTCTCGGTTATCTCTGTGTGGGCCCCTGTGGGGGCTAATTTTCGCGCTTCTGTGGTTCCCGGTGCGGTTGCCGTATGTTTACCCGGGCCTCAACTTCATGATTTTGATGATTATTTACGATAAATTATATATGTACTGCTTAGCGACCTGTCAGACGATGCTCTATGGCAACCGTAAGCGAACAGTGGAACGTGAGAGGAGCAACACCGTGATTATGTTGTTCCGCATACTTGGTTCTGCTGGGGTTGGTCTGGCGTCATGCCTGTATGAGGGTACTAACAGGATCAATTGGCTAGGAACGTTTCGCGCCTACAACGGTGTCTGGGCGCTCACGACGGGTCTTGGCTTTTATGTGCTTGGTAGGTCTCGGAACGAGATTGACCTGAGCTCTGACGTTGATGTTGTCAAAAATTCTAATGACGGACCGCCACAAAACAGCAATAAATTCTTCACATTTGCTTTCCAAACTCTCAGACGCAACTCAATGAGAGCGGTGGCGATATTATACGCACTGCAGGGTTATATCAGCGCTTTATCTACTAATTTTTTGTGTTTATTTATGATGGTGGTGTGCGCCAAGAAACCTTCTTCGCCTTTAAGTTCCCTTCTACAAGCACTCTCTTTTGCGGCGCCACATGGCCTCTCTGCGCTAATAGTACGACTCTACGGAAGATATGGGAAGAAAAAAACGGTTTCCGTGATATTGCTACTGCGCTGGATCCTGGGGTTCCTATTGTTGTTGTTGTCTGTGCAAATGATGCGCAACGCACGTGGTGATGGCGGTATCGATGCCAGAAACCTAAATCGGGTGGAGCAGCGCGCCACAACTACGGCCACGATCCATGGGTATGGCATCGCCTTTGCAATCCTATTCTTCACACACCGCACCCTCACGGAGATCACGACGGACCTTCATTCGGCCGTTTTGGCGGACGTTACCGATGAGGATACAGTTATCTTCGGCCGAAACGATTCCATGTCAGCCGCCATACAGCATCTCATTTCAATACCCTCAAAGCTCCTCCACTCGCTGGCGATAATTTTTACATGTATATACTTGAACACGATCGATGCGATACCACTCGATGTGCCTCATATAACAGAAAGCAGTAGGAAGGATATCAATGTTGCAGCAAAGGTAGTATGGTTCATTGGGATTAATATACTCTTAGTCTCAACATTGATGCTAGCTGTATGGGTGAAATGGTATGATCTGAGTGATAAGTATCTGGCCTTCGTTCAGACCGCTATGCGCAAAAGAGTAGAAAAGGCGATGATTGGAGTTGTATGAAGAAAAATATTTCATAAATGGGGAAGAACGATGACTTGGCGTCGCTTACAGTGCAAACGAAAGGGTGTACATTACCATTTAGTTAGGAGACAAATTTTGATAATTTTCTCCGACACAACCGAAAGGACAGTACAATGTGGTTCGCCCCTGAAAATTAATGCTGACAGGGGAAGCGATTCGTTTTCCTGCCCTTTGTAGAGTGATTCATTATTCCTTAGTTCAGATGATACGCTTCATACCTATCTTCATCCAAATTACTCCATTCTTCGGTGAATAAAGTTTCAAAGGGAGAAAGTACTTAGTTACAAGCAGTTATTTCTCAGGATAAAAAAATATATAAAACACATACACGAAAAGTAAAGAACATGGCTACCGTGAGACCCGCCACTGGCATGCGAGCGCCCATGACGGGCTCAATGCGACCTACTACAACGTCAGGCGGCGGCACCACCCTTGGCCGCATCCAAGCGCAAGTTCAGGAAGGAACCTTCACTGCTACCGTATACGGTTACATCCGTGATCACCAGTATGCGGAAGCGGTGGAGCTACTGATAACACAGCTAGAGGAATTTCCGCGCAGCCGCGCGGCGCTCTCGTTAATAGCGTACTGTTATTACATGATGGGCGAATATATGGAGTCGGCGAAGCTGTACGAGCAGCTCGTGCATGTGTGCCCGAATGTGGAAGAGTACCGTGTGTACTACGCCCAAGCCCTTTACAAGGCAGGTGCCTATCAAGATAGCACACGGGTTTCTAGCATGATAGAATCTGAACAGTACAGTATGCGGCTGACCAAGCTGCAGGCTGTCATTGCTTATGAGCAGGAGGACATCCCGCAGACGAAGAGTTTTTTAGAAAAGTGCTCCATCGAAGACCCCGATACAGTGGTGCTGCAGGGATGTGTGCTGTATCGCGAAGGAAACTACGAAGGGGCACTGGAGAAATTTCAGGAGGCTCAAAATGCTCTTGGTGATAAGCCGGAGCTTGTCTACAACATCGCGCTCGCGCACTACCGAATGCAGCAGTACGCGTTGTCACTCAAACACATTGGTGATATCATCAACAAAGGTGTGAAGGAGCATCCCGAGCTAAATATTGGAAGCAACACGGAAGGTGTCGAAGCGCGCTCAGTAGGCAATACACCGGTTCTCAAGGAGACTGCCCTGATCGAAGCCTTTAACTTGAAAGCTGCGATCGAGTTCCAGATGCAGAACGTGAATGCCGCCAAGGAGGCCCTAACGGATATGCCGCCGCGGCAAGATGAAGAGCTCGACCCAGTGACGCTACACAATACAGCTCTCATCAACATGAACGATGACCCAGCAAGTGGTTTCAAGAAGTTCAACTTTCTTCTCCAAAATCCACCTTTCCCTGTGGAAACCTTTCAAAACCTACTCCTCTTCTACTGCAAATACGAGTACTACGACTTGGCCGCGGACGTTCTTGCCGAAAATCAGCATCTTGCGTGGCAATATCTCTCCCATGACCAACAGTCTCTCTACGATTTTCTGGATGGTCTTATAACCGCACAGACCTCACCAGCTGAGGCATACCGAAAGTTCGATATCCTAGCCCAGAAACACGCGGATCAGCTGCGGAAGATGACCAAGAAGATTCAAGATGCGAAGCAAAAGCACGATAAAGATGCCGTGAAGTTGGCAGTGCGGCAGTACGATGATGCACTGGAAGAGTACATCCCTATACTAATGGCGCAGGCTAACATTTACTGGTGCCTCGAGAGCTACTCCATGGTGGAAAAACTGTTTCGGCAGTCGGCTGAGTTCTGCTCCGAACATGATGTGTGGAAACTAAATGTAGCGCACGTCTTTTTTATGCAGGAAAATAAGTTCCGGGAGGCCATCCGCTACTATGAGCCAGTGGTGGCCGCTAATCAGGAGAAGATCCTCAACTGCAGTGCTATTGTCTTGGCCAATTTGTGTGTTTCTTATATTATGACAACTCAAAACGAAAAAGCCGAAGACATCATGAGACGCATCGAGAGGGAGGAGGAAGCACTAACTTACAGCGACCCTGAGAAACAGCCTTTACATCTTTGTATTGTAAATTTAGTGATCGGCACCCTGTACTGTTCTAAAGGTAACTTTGAATTTGGCGTATCACGTATTATCAAATCATTGGAGCCGTATCACCGAAAACTCATGACGGACACGTGGTTCTACGCGAAACGGTGCTTTCTTGCGTTGGCTATGCATCTCGCAAAGCACATGGTTGTTCTCAAAGACAGCACCTTTGAAGAGATACTTTCGTTTTTTGGTCAGGCGGATAACTACGGCGAGAATGTGCCGGCCTTCACGCACCCAGATCCGTCGAAGCAAGACATGTCGTCGCGCAACTCTGTTCGATGGGAAGCTCGGCAACTCAAGAATTTGTACCTCATCTTGCGCGATTAGCATGCGGATAGATCTGTGAATCACAGAAAATGGTGAGGGGTGTGTTTAATATCCGAAATGGGCGTGAAGCTCATGTGCGATTGGATGTATTTATTTTGTGCACCACATCTTTTAAACTTCTGTTTAGGATTTTGGAAAGGCGAATATATATATGTATATATATATAAACGTCATGGTTTGTATTTGTAGGACAATCAACAGAAAAAATTATGCAAGCTCTTGCATCAAAACTTTATCTATGTTAGTTATTGAAATGAATATATAATTACTATTATGGCTAATTTCGGAGGGTATGATGAAATTTTAAAACTATAATATAATATTCCTTGCCTACTTATTTCAGACTAGTAAGTTCCCGACACCAACGGAACGAACACTCTCCCTGAGGAGAGCATCACTACGAAAAAAATTAGGGTACTATATAACTTAAACGCGACACAAAATGAAGGTAGAAATTATAGATTGTCAACAGAAATCTCACATGGCGGGTGAAACTCTAGAGTTCCATCTAAATGAAGTGGATAATTCATTCGCCAACGGGCTGCGCCGTGTGATGCTGGCGGAGATACCGGTGCTGGGAATAGAGGAAGTGACTATAATCAGAAATACCTCAATATTACCCGATGAGATGATCGCACACCGCTTAGGTCTTATACCTCTGTACTCCATGAAGGCACGCCGAATGAGCTACGCTCGTGAGTGCCCTTGTGAAGGGACCGGATGCTCAGACTGTACGATAACCGGTGAATTGCACGTCGAATGCCCGGAAGACCAGTACAGCATGCAAGTCTTCGTGAATGAATCACTCAAAATCAATGACGACGAGGTGTATCCGGTAAGTGCGGAAGAGAAGGGCGTCTGGTTGGTAACTCTGGGTCGATGCCAGAAACTGAGTTTACGCATTGTGATTCGCAAAAACATCGCCAAGACGCATGCCAAATTCATGCCGGTGGCAACCGTCGCAATGCGTTATGCGCCGGAGATCATCCTTAACCCAGAGGGATTTGCGAGGCTCGGCCCGGAGCTCTGCCGTCAGTGGGTTGCGCGTTGCCCGAGGAATGTGTTTCGCTACGACGATCGCACTAATCAGGTTCTCCTGGATAAACCAGAGGAGTGCATCTTCTCGCGTGAGTGCCTCTCAACGGACCCACCGTTTGATAACCTCCCCGAACCCTTGGTTTTCATTCGGCTAAAGAAAAATCACAAGGGGTACTACAACTTCCGTTTTGTGGTTGAATCAACCGGTGTGCTACCGGTGCTCCAAGTTTTATATGACGCCATTGAGGTGCTGCGGAAGAAATTAGAGAAAATTCGTGCCGGTCTATCACACGACCCCAATGCTGAGGAATCCATCAAAGTGCGCCTCATCGGTGAAGCACCGACTGCACTCGAAGTGGCCAACGAAGATCTTGTTGAGAATGAGGGTGCTGAAGATAACTTAAACTTTGTAATGAAATAACATGCGAGAACGATTAGGAGAAAGCTAAACACCTTACTAGAGTGAATATCGAGCTTGACTGATAATAAGGGGGTCTCTTTTGGAAGATGAGTTTCCTATTTATCACGAATTCAATGCCAATTCCTAAGGATTTGCACTAAGGCATATGCTTCGTAAATAGTTTTTCTTACCTTGATTCGGGTGAACGCTATCTGATACAATTTAATTGTCGTTGGGTTCGCTGATAAATTTTAAGCTTATTCTCCACCCTTTCCTTTTTATTGACTTGTCATCGCCTAACCGCATGCATCGTCTAATGGATACTTTGCACTATATGTCGATGAAAAAAATCTCCCTAGTGAAATGTGAATGGACTTTCCAAATCCAAAGCACCCCCCACTGCGGTCGCATCAGATCTTGGACCTGCATTCACGCCGTAGGCCCCACACTCTTCGATCAGCCCCCACAACTGTAGGAAGTAATCCTAATGAGAGAGGTCTTCTTTATCTTCTAGAGCGGAGGCAGCTGCCACAGGACTATGATCTAGAGGTCGCATTGACTTCAGGTGATTTGATTCAGGCCAGAAAAGCGCCCATTTATAATATATCACAGCGCAAAAAAAAGCCGATAACAATGACAAATGGCTCCGTTTTCAGTGCAGTCAGGGGATACAAACTTGACTACGACGAAATTGGGAAGCTTCCGAAGATGTTGGACGTAGCAGGGCTCAAGGCATGGGAAGAGGTGCAAAGATCCAAGGCACACGAGAAGGAATCCCGCCCTTCCGTAGAAACATTTATGCAAAATGCACTGACGCTATCAAAAAGCGACACCCATGGTAGAGACGACCCTCGAACTTACACCGAGCTACTAGACCTATACTCTATGCATGAGTTCATTATTCGCAAAGGTAAAACCTTACGCTGCACTCCTGAGTTTGCATCATTTAAAAGACACTACGAGGCATCCTGGGATTGCATTGAGACCATGTTAGAAGTCTTGGAGGATTTCCTAACCCTCTATGAAGTAGAACTTGCCTACATCGACGGCAAGAAGTTGGCAACCCTGGCCTCATACCAGATGGGCCGCCGTGTGGAGACCTCGGATTTGCTAAATTGCATTGCCAACGCGGAGGAGATAACGCCTTTGTTAACCGACAGTGCAAAGCAGTACCGGCTTGCCGTCAAAGGGGAACATCTGGCCGCCACGAAGATCCAGTCCACGTGGCGCATGTACCGCCAGCGCATCGCCTACCGGCATCTCCAGCTCGGCACCCGCGCCGCGACGATTATCCAGCACCAATGGACCCTTCACCGCTCTCACTGCATGACGCGGCGAGCCATTCGCGCCGCCCGTGCGAACCGCCTCGCGCGGTGGGCGAAAACCATGGAATCATTCTGCGAAAAGTGGTCAGAAATTCGCTCCGTCCGCCGCGTCGCGGTGCACATTCCCTCTCTATCCATCCCATCCTTTCAGTCAAGCCGTGTTCCTTTCTACAACGCCCGGCAGATGGGCCTTTTGCCGCGTCTGTTTGATCTGAAGGATCCCAACGTGGAGGTGGTGCTCGTGGCGCCGTTTCGGCCTCAGGCGGAGATCATGAAGTACTACCATTCGCTTCTAGCAAACGTTGGCGTGCACAACTCGGAGGGGCGTCTCACTTTAGTCGTTCCAGAGGACGTTGATCGCTTGAAAAATGGCATGAGTCTAACACGCCTTACGCTTCTGTCGCCGCGGGTCATGAAGGTGCTGAAGACGTTGTGCACAGGAAAGCCGGCGTATATCGTTCCCGGTGTGATCGGGCCCGAAGAGTTGGACTTGGTCTCGGAGCTCAACGTCCCTTTGCTCAGCTCTGATCCCCGTATTGCCCAGGTGTTTGGCACCAAGAGTGGGTGCAAGAGGCTGCTAGAGGCTTCCGATGTCGCACAACCACTCGGCGCCACCGCGCTACGATCACGCGACCACTTGTTGCTCTCCCTCGTCAACCTCATGGTGGAGCATCGTGATATCAATCGCTGGCTCATAAAGCTGGATACTGAATGCGGCAGTCGCGGCCACGCATACCTCGATACGAGCCGCATGAAATCCCTCAAGGAATGTCAGTCCTCCTCCCACAGTGTGCTTTCAGACGCTCTGCATAAGGAATTGGTAGAGTTTGGAGCACGGCGCGTGCGACTCGTGCACCCACACTGCTACCGTGACTGGAATGCCTACTTGACTATGGTGGAAACTGTCGGTGCGTGTGTCGAGGCAGTTCCCAATCGTGTGTTGACAAACCTATCCGCGAACCTCTTCATTGAGCCATCCGGTGAGATACATCTACAGTCCGTTGTGGAACCACTGCTGGCTCCGGCCTTCACGGTTCTAGGTAGCTGTTTTCCATGCTCTATTGCGCTAAATACTGCACACGTAGAGTCGGCGGCGATGCGGGTTGCAACTGCAGCGTTCCGTAAGAGAATTTACGGCTACGTATCTGTGGATTTTGTTCTTTTTGAAAAAGAAACGAGCATCAGCGACAGCGGCAGTGATAGTCAATCCTCATCGATCTGGGCGGTGGATGTGGATCTTTGCCTCACCAACAACGCCGCTGCTCACCAAGTGGCGTCAATGTTATTGATTAAATTTATCCCATCCGCTACTCTACCTCCAATAAAAGATAGGGATCTCGACATGGAGGGTAATGATGTCGAATTGCATTACATCTATAGTGGATTGATTTACAATCCATTTATCTCGAGCATTCGACATGAAGCTTTCTTCTCGCTTTGTCATGCAAAAGGTATCTCGTTTGATCGTAAAGAGCAGACAGGGATAGTATTTCATTTGGTAGATGTACTCCTTCGTGGTTGTGTTGGGGTTATCTCCGTAGCTAGAAACATAAACCGTGCGCTAAAGAAAATGACCGTTTTTCAGAACCTGTTAAACATGGAGCTGCCTAAGCAAGGTGAACATTCAGCTGAAAGCAACATTGTTTATTTCTTATCTATCCAACAGCAACTGTCGCGCCTTAAGAACGAATAGAGTGAAATCAACAAATAAGGGTCCTTGCTTTGATGACGCCATTAATGCAACCGAAAGACATCCTTCCTAGGAGACTTGTACTTACGCTTTTTTCGTGAACTGAAAAGGTGGGAAGGTTGCTTTTTACTGTGCATTACATTCTTGATATGTCCTCAAAAACAGATATATGTAAAATAACTTCCAGATCTGAGTATTTATGAACATATGAGTAACTACTCATACATATTAGAAAGCTTTATTTTCTTTTTGCATCGTCGAAGAGGTGTAGCTGTGAATATCTATGTATCTCTGCGTATTTTTGTGAAATGGAAAAACTGTGATATCCTGGATTTCATTTATCCACCTTGGTGTATAAGAAAAGCTTACTTTATATCTTCATCCAATATACATATAGTTTTGTTGTGTTAGCACACATATTATTTTAAGCCATTACTATACTATTCAGGCAATCCTAATTACTGGGCACCGTCTCCGTTTCAGAACAATATGAACGGGCAAGATAAGAAACAAATTCAGGTCGGCGTTCCCTCCGATGACCCAAAGTCTAAAGATGTTGACAAGAAAATCAAAGAGGGTGATGCCAAACTCAGCGAGGAAGATGAACGCATCAAGGAGCAGGTCGAACTTTTGGTGGCTCGATCCGCAGATAGAGATCTTGGTATAGCGAAGATTGCCGTTAATCAGCTCGCTGATCTCCTGCGTACCACTAGCAGCGGCAGCGTGGCCTCCGTCCCCAAGCCTCTCAAATACGTCCGCACACTATTTCCGGAGTTGGAGCAGGCGTTGAAGGGCGTAACGCAGGACGCTGCCCTACAGCGTCGTCTACATGATGTCCTCTCCTTTGTTTCAATGACTATAGAGCACGACAAAGGTACTCATGCTAGTTTAGCCCACAAGCTGAAAGGCACGCTAGATGATCTCGCGGAGTGGGGCCATGAGTATCTGCGCTTTCTGGCTGGTGAAATAGCCGAGGAGTGGGAGGAACTCACTAGAAAGCATGAAAGCATCAACCATCTGTCTAACTTTGTCGATCAAATCACTCAGTATATGATCGCTCATCAGGATGAGCCTACATGTATGGATCTTCTAATCGAAATCAATGAAGTTAAGCGCATTCTTGAGTTGGTGGACAGCTCCAACTACAAACGTGTTGCAAATTATCTATGTGCCGTGAGCCATTATCTCACCCGACCCGCGGACACAGAAGCACTTAACACGGTTTTCAGTATTTACACTAAAGTCGGAGCCTACTCCGACGCGGTCGTTATCGCACTGAAGCTAGGCAGTCACGAGAAGGTGAACTTGCTGTTTAAGACATGTACCAACAAGGCACTTCGGTTGCAGATGGCCTTAACATGTGCGCGGCATCGGTACTTTCTCGACTTTGATGCAGAAGAAAATGAACTGCTGCAAGAGGCTAACGGCAACATGCGTCTGTCGCAGCTCTTTCGAGCCACAGCTCAGGATCTCGACGCAATCGCCCCTAAGACTCCCGATGAAGTCATTAAAAGTGGCGACACCGTCAACGAGCCACCCCGAGACTCGCTTCAGAACCTCACGAACACGTTTGTCAGCGGTCTTGCAAACTGTGCCTTTGGAAAGGATAAATACTTAACAGAGAGTAGCTCATTCTTGTTCGATCAAAAAGAGGATCGTATCATCTCAACAACCGCAGCGTTGGGACTGCTCCACCTATGGGACCATATGGAAGGCCTTCAGGAAATTGACAAGTATTTCTACTCAGAGAGTAACTACATCAAGTCCGGTGCGTGTCTTGCCTCGGGTATCGCCATGTGTGGTGTCAAGAGCCCTTTCGACCCTGCCCTCGGCCTGCTCTCAGAGCATGTCAATTCTCCACAAAAGGATGTCAGCATAGGCGCTATTCTCGGTCTCGGCTACGCCTACTCTGGTATGCGAAAAGAGGATGTGAAGGAACTCTTGGTGCCAATTCTTGCCGATGGGGAGCAACTATTGGAAGTCCAGTGTATGGCAGCATATGCGTTATCCCTTGTATATGTTGGATCCGCAGACGAGGATATCATCGAGACAATGATGAATTGCCTTCTAGAAATTCCAGAGGATAAACTCATGGAGACATGTGTACGCTTTCTCATCCTCGCCCTCGGGTGTATGTTCCTCGGTTGTCAAGAGAGGGCGGACACGCTTTTGGATGCCGCTCAGGCGCTTTCACCAGTAATCAATCAGTACACTGACACGGTCGTTCGCAGCTGCGCCTTCGCGGCAACAGGTAATGTGATTACCATTCAGAAATTTTTCCACATTATTGCAGAAAGCGATGACACTAACGAGGAGGATCCAAATGAGGAATCGGGTAAGCAGAATGAGGAGAAACAGGAAGAGTCAGCGGCACAGATGCTAAATCACAAGGCAGCAGCCGTTCTGGGGATTGGTTTGGTGGCACTTGGCGAGGATCTTGGGACGGAAATGGCGAAGCGCGCGATCATCCACACACTACTGGCCGACACAGTCAACAAAAAGAAGGATGCGATGTCCGGTCGGCGGGCAGTCCCGCTGGTGTACGCGCTTCTTTCTGCATCGGATCCTAATATGACCGTTGTGGAGAGCCTTAACCGACTAGCACACGACAGTGATATCAGCACGGCTATGAACGCTGTCCTGGCGATGGGGTTGGTCTCCGCCGGTAGCAACAATGCCCGTGTGGCCGGAAAGCTTCGAAATATCGCATTATACTATCAGCGGTCACGCTATAACAATACCCTTTTCACGGTGCGCCTCGCCCAAGGACTTTGCGCGATGGGAAAAGGGCACCTAACGCTTTCACCACTGCAAAACGACCGACTCACCGTCAGCCAGCCGGCTCTAATGGGGTTGCTGACGCTGTTGCATTGTGCCTTGGATTTAAATAAGACCATACTGGATAAGTATCATTATATGGTCCTGGCCATTACTCCTAGCATCAGCCCACGCATGGTGCTCGCTGTAGACGAGACAATGGAACCGGTTAAAGGTATTCAGGTTCGTGTGGGATTGCCAATGGATACTGTGGCCTTGCCAGGAAAGCCGAAGGCCATTACAGGTTTTCAGACTCACACTACGCCAGTGCTCTTGGCCTCCACAGACAAAGTCGAATTAGCGGACATTAAGTACCGCTCAATTCTTTCAATTGTAGAAGGAGTTTTTGTGGTGGAGCAAAAGCAAGTTATTGATTAGGTATGGCGACTTGACGGAATTTTTCTTGAATATATTAATTTTTTATCTTAAAGTTTACCCATAACGAGATCAGTTAAAGGGGAGATGACACTGTTTAGAGTACCGTTGCCTTAATATGTTTCTAATCGTGGTACTTGCTCTGATTTTATAGCTGAAAGGGTAAGTATGTAATTGAGATAGGATAACATCATTCTATCTTGGGTGATTGGTCTGTTGAGAATAAAATGGAGTACCTCATTAGCGCCAAATCAGCAAAATAGAGGTTATTATGCAAAAGGATAAAACTATCCTAATAGGAAGGAATGTAAATACTATCTGCTTTCTTCATTTTTTTTGGCACTAGTAAAATAAAAATAGTCCTCTTCTATTGTTGCATACAGGCATATATTTGCTTAGAAAGGTGTTTTATCCTTATATTTTCGTTGTAATTTTTTCTCATCTTTGGGGTTAGTAATTTAATAAAATGAGCAGTGAGGAAATTCAAAGGCAAATAGAAATGGAAATGGAAAGGGAGATCAGGCGCAATCAAGGTTTCCAAAACGACCCCTTCCGATCCCAACTACCACCAATTCGTGAATTATCATCCACTAAGCTAGATTCTTACAAACTCAGTGAAAAGTCTCTCGATAGTTCAATTCTGGTGCAAACAACATTCCAGTCGCGGAAACGGGAAAGCGCTCAGCACCTGTACCCACCACCTCCACCAGACTCGAACTTCCTCTCGTCAGAAAATCTTTATGCCAATCTCAATGACGATAGAGTGAAAGAACAGGCACGCCGTGAAGCCGAGGAACAGGCACGCCGTGAAGCCGAGGAACAGGCACGCCGTGAAGCCGAGGAACAGGCACGCCGTGAGGCCGAGGAACAGGCACGCCGTGAAGCCGAGGAACAGGCACGCCGTGAGGCCGAGGAACAGGCACGCCGTGAGGCCGAGGAACAGGCACGACGACTTGAGGAAATCCGCCTTAAGGCTCGTGAGGCAGTTTTTCGGGAATATGCTCAGAAAAAGAAGCTCGAACGCGAGCGGGCTCAGAAAAACCACCTCCCCTCAAGCGAAGGTAACCCAGGCGCAGCATCCTTAGACATACAATACTTAAAAACATCACCTCAGAGGTCCGTGTTGCTGTCTGGGAGTAATTTGTATTCGGACAACACCATTGTTGATGCCGATGGTTGTAACGATGACGCACAGGGAAAATATGTTGACCTCAATGGAAGCAACATGGATGAGACTACAAGGTCCTCTTACACTCGAGGTGAAGCCGGCAGGCATAATTTTGTGCCATCCATCATCGAAAACGATCTGCAGTCTGAGACAAGTAGTAGGCCAATGTCATGTCTGCTACCACAGGCAACAATGAATAATAATGGTATCCTCGGTTATAATCCCTTGGCTCTATCGTCTAATCCCTCTTCACAAGTTGGGCCCTCTGGAGACATCTCCTTCGAAGAATTTGAGTCTTGTCTGGAAAAGGAGTTACGCGTGCGAGGTCTGACTGAACACAGTGCTCAACGCTGTCGCGTCAACGTGAATCACTTCAACACAATTCGTGAGCCAGGACGTTGCCTGTTCCCCTACAACGAGGTCTCGGATAGCATTCCGCCTCATGTTAAGATACAGTTAGGGTTTTTCTCTGCTAAACAAACGATTATTTATACGACACCCGTGCAGCAGCACCGTGTGGCTATTCGTGAACAAGCATGTGAGGGAGATCAGCGCCCATTGAGTAGCCTAACTTGTTACTTTGAATCAGAGTTGCTTACCGACCCAACGTTAACTGTAGATGACGAAGGCCTTCCACACAACAATCCATCTGAACGGCTTCTAACGCGTCAGGAAATTCTCCGCGGAGACGGCTCCGCAGTTGACAAAGCTGCTTCTAAGATATCATACGGTGATCCTCTACAAGTGTGGGAACATGTTTGTGAGAATATGGTAGTCGATAAAAAGATTGAGAGTGAGAACAAGGGTGATAACTCGTCGTTGGAAGCAAATTCCATGGCAAATAGCATATGGGTCAGTGATGTTGACACGCGCAAGCCCATTCCAGCGATGAAGACTTTCACTGGTGGGATGGTTTTGTGCGTCACATGTAACTCAATGACGAGCCAAGTGTCGAAAATTCATGGTGAAGGCACGGACCCACTTATCGCCGCCATCGCACTGTATAGTGTCACCGAAACACAAAAAATGAAGGTGTCAGAAACGTTTTATTTCAGCAAGGATCTTGACGTATTCTTCCCGCACAAGCATCGGAAGGAGCTCAGTTGCAGCAATAATGTGATCGCATTTGTGCCAAATGAATTCATAGGCACTCTCCACCTTGTGGTGCGTCTTTACCGACCCTGTTGCGAAGACTTCGATAATTATGTGGATTTGTACACTCGAACAGACCGATACAAACCGAACCACGTAGCACACATGAAGCAAGAGGCACTGCAGCTCGCACAATTGTCTGATGTTCTTGAAGAAATAGGGTGGATGTCGACACGCTGTGATCTGAGCAATAAGAACCTCTTGCCCACCGTCAAAATGAATAGTGTCTATCGAAAGCCGATGACAGATGACGATTTGCTCACAATTATCACAGACAAAACTATTCGTAGTTCCTTTTACACGATCCCATTCACTCTGGAGTTTGGTCTATCTGATCTTTCCACGCATGAAGTTTCGTTCCCTTCCGAAGGCGCTGAGCCGCTTCCCCAGGAGAACGAAACCTTGGTTAAACTTTTCGATCCAAATTTGCCAAGTGCGAGGCCAGTGATCTACCGCTATGCACCCTGCTGCATCCCGATCCTCAACTCAGGTTACTTTACTACTTACAACAACATCTACTACCTTCGCTTTTCTAAAATCAGAATTTCGTACTCAGGCTATTTGAAAAACTTACCCAGTTCGTATCATACGTACACGATCCAGGTATGCGTCAAGGCACGTGATGATAGTCTGTCGGACGATGACGCACTTCCCTGCATCTACGGACGCGGACTCACTAACATGTCGATGGACACTGTGGCATGGGTATCCACGGTGCATGCAAGCAGCGAAGTCAATTTGAGTGATGAAATTAAGATTCAGCTTCCGCTCAATCTGACAGCGAAGCATCACATATTTTTTACCCTTTATGCAAGTCAACAAAAAACGCGGTCATCTGTTTCTGGTCAGGCCAGAGCGATCAAGGTTGGCTATGCCGCTCTACCATTTCTTGTCGATGGTACTTTACAGGTAAGTAATGGCGCTCATCTCAAATTCATTGCTCATGATCAAGCGACAGTCGCATCAGCCGGAGGGTACGTCGAGAACTTCCCCAAGGCCCCGTCCAGCGCCTTCCTTAACAATGGCAAACACGTTTTGAAGTACTCGATACAGGCAAAGACCAGCGTCTATGCCTCGAACAATATTATTGCGTCCGTGTTCAAGCACTGCCCGTTGTCTATCGAAGCGCTCAAAGGGGATGATGATGTGTTGGCGCTCTCTGGCAGACTACAAAGCCTCTCGAACACGCCCAATGATCCACATCGAAGTGTGATCAGTCTTATATCCCGGCTACCTCTCGCTGAGATATTGGCGTTCTATCCCTTTCTTAGCGCCTACGCCTTTTCCCTTATCGGGTCTGGCTCGTCTCAAGTTGGATTGTCTAGCCGTCTTCACATGTTAGACGTTCTGCTGCTCATTACAGCAAAGGCCCAGCAATACGATATGAACCTGCCAACGATCAGGCGCCGCCATGGGGACATAAAGGAATCTATGGCCTTCGTGAAAACGACGGTCGCCAGCATACTATACCACTTCTCTACCAACGACACGTTGTACGAAGGGGACAGGTGTCGTGCTAAGAGTCGCTTGTATGCCGGTCTTGCAGAGGTGTGGTATCACTTGTTGAGTGTCGCCAAGGCACCAGTAACACCTTCTGTGGACCCCCCGCATTCGCCATTAAGCAAAGCTAGTGAGGCATCCGAGGAGCCTCGAAACATCTTTAGTGAGATGAGCAAGCTATCATGGTTCCTTTTTGACGCTATTCTGCGTTCCGTATACATGTGGGTCTACGACAACAGTAAAGTGGAGCGCACCATGCTATTTGATCCTTCTTTCTACAGTATGGTGGGTGATCTGTGTGTACGTGTGTTGCAGAAGTTGTCCACGTACAGGGAAAGTGTCTTAGTACGTCAAGTCGCACTCTTTATACGTGGTCTCACGTTGTATGGAGATCGGGGGCAAGTTCTCGGTATTGTTGACAAAGTGGTAAGCTACTTTGAGGAGCAAAGCAACGGCGAGAGCCTGAGCAACTTCATCCTTTATATGCTAGAATACACGGATTCAGCCCTACTATTGCTTCCATATGTGAATAAGCAACCGGCTTTCCTATCTAAGATTATAGTCCACTCGCTTCCAGCGCAAATAGTGCACAACAACCGTGTGGTACGGATGAACTCCATCGATGCGCTCTATCGTTTCCTCCTGCGTCTCGCAAATGATCCTAAAATCCTCGGTAGCGATCTTAATGGTGTCGCTTCACAGCTCTTCCCATTGGTTCCCGAAGTTGGATTCAGGTGGAAATCTTTTATTCAGCTTTACGAGAAGAGCCCAGTCGAGGTAGCTACAAACGACAAGCGCAGGCTCGCGCTTGTCACTGCTTGGATTATCTACTACACTCCTCGTGAACAAATTACAGCGTGGCTGCTTCACGAGACAAACTCCAAGGTGATTGCTGGTCTTTTATATCTGGTATCTGATGTTCAGGCACTTTTCCGCTACCCCTTAGTAGAGGCAAATGGAAATGAAATGACGAACAAAGAGCAGAAGTCGCTTCTTCAATTATGGTCTGCCCGCAACGCAACCTTTACGACGGCCATTAGTGCTCAATTTGCTAGTATTGTCCTAAGGGCCATACCTAACACAATACGAAGCGTTAAGGAGGAAAAATCGGACGCGTCCGTGATCCGGTTCTTCGTGTTGCTGGAGAACACATTGAGCCTCACCAACTCTACCATTTCGCTTCAGATAAGTGCCGCGGTTGCCCACCAAACTATATGCCAGCTTTTCCCTGAAATTGCGAGTGGAAAAGCGCGTATGTGCGGCGGTATGCTGTTGTTAATTATGCGCCTCATGTGCAGCTGCTGTCAGCATGTGCGGGCCTCTGCCTCAACCACATTCCTCCTTGTGTGTCAGTCCTATTTCCGGTGGATGAATTCGCTTGAAATAGTGAAGTTCCTCACTACCGAAGCGTTAATTTCGGTGGCTGAGTCTAAGGCACGAAGCGTACACCTTGCTGCGCGTTTCCTTGAGCTTCAGTTCGATGATCTAAGGGAAAAAGCCCGTGTTGAGGAAGAGCGCTTTGATTTGCCAGCATCAGACTATGTAACACGCCACACTCGTGTTTCCGACTCCGATGGAAGTGATGTACGGGCTGCTTGCAAAGTCGATGTACGGGAGCTATTTCTCAGTGTGGAACGTAATCCACCCCTTTCTGGAAAACGGTTAGAAGACGCAAAAGCCATAGCTGAAGCAAAACCACCCAAGTTCTCGCAGCATTTTGAGCTGATGGCAGCTGACTTACTCACCATCTTTAACAACGTACTTAACCTTCATCTAGACGACTCCATGAAATTCAAAGAGATCATGATATTTGCTCACTTTGACATATTTAAAAACCTTCTGCACCAACACAACCTCAAGCAGGCTATTAAATGGCTGTATCGGGTGCACAAAGTTCACTGCGCCAACGAAGATTCTGTGGAGGCCGGCATGGTGTTGATTTTTATTGCTGCTCTCGGCTTCAGAATAACCGAGATGTTTTATTTTGTTAAGGGAAAAGATGATGATGGCGCGTGTATGCCGTATGGCATACTTACGCGCGTGTTTTGGCACGATTACGTGCGTATCCTTCCGGAACTTGAGCTTTTGTTGCCGGTGGAGACGCTCTACGGGGTCGTCTCGGATCTTCGCGCATGCCCAAATGAGTCTTGTTTCACAATGGAAGGCCAAATTAAGATACTGACCAATGCCACCGAGCTCCTTGACAAGGGCCACTATTACGAATTCTCGATTAGTATCATGACTCTTGTAGATCGATTCCTATCTGCCATCAAGGACCACAAGGGGTCCTCCATGGTACATGCAGCTACAGCGAACTGGTGCAAAGCGATCGGCGATAACACTGAACATAACAGTCGTTACTTTTTAGTATGGGCTCGGATGGAACGCGAGCAGGACCCGTGTTTGAAAGCTCAAATTGGGGGAATGGAAATGACTGACGAAAACACTAAGGGTCTTCCCGATAATAAGCCTATACATCGTATCTACAAAATGCCGATCACTACTACTCTTCAAGCCTTTAAGGAGTACGTCAAAGGCTATGTCGAGTCTTACTTTTCGGACACGTCACTTGTTCAGTTGACAGACGACCTAACAGAAACACGACCAGTGCTACCGGAGCCCGACACGAAGCGCAAGCGGATTGCCGCGATGCAACGTCCCCCTAACAATTGTTTGGTAACAGTTACGGAGGTGGAACCATATTTCCCTGGAAACCAAGTTGTTTTGCCAGATGGTTACGACAAAACAATGCATCTTAACCATTTTGTTAATGTGGTGCGACTTGGGGTACACCGTCGTACCACTGAGTATGAAGGAGTCGAACTGATGAATCAATGCATGAGCATTAGCACTTATGAACTGGAACGTGCCTTCCCTGCTACCACCACCGCTATTAATGTTGCCAAGTCGCACACAGTTCTTCTCGATCCGTTTGAAAGTGCGCAGGAGATGATTAACAGCTGCCGAGAAACTATAAACCAAGCTCCAGATAATGAAGACTTGATCAGGCTGATTCGATATGCTCTCTCAATCAACAATCGACCAGCCGGTGCGTATATAAAGGAAGTGATTGCCATTATGGGTAATCACTCCAATATCATCCATGTCATTCACGAGCTTAGCAAAACATTGAAGCAAAAGATGAACATAATCGATTCTTCGAATGCCATGATGAAATACCCTGAAGACTATGCACTTGTCCTGAAAGCGTCCACTGACATTGAGTGTAACTTGATCAATATAACCACACCCGAAGGGTCAGTTGATACCGAGAACTAATTTTTTGTTTTCTTTTATACACTTTTATCGTGTTCATTGGCGTGCGTATTCGATACCTTCGATTTTTCGCTTTTTGTTTGCTTTTTGTTTGCAATTAATCTAACCTTCTCAAGTACCAACGTAGGAGGAGAAGGAATGTTATGCAATCGGAGAAATATGAATAGATTACATTAATGATATAGTAATAACTCAGATGGTTATTTATCTTTGAACTTATTTTGCTCGTTTATTTTCGTCCAAATCAGTGAACATTCATGATACTTTGGTTAAACATTTTCCTGTTGGGATATTTGCTTTTAGATTTTTTTTGTTCCGATATATTTTCCCCCTGTTTGCGAACTATTAAGATATAAACTTCGAGATGCATTTCGGTGATCTTCTTTTTCTGCAATTCAAGTTCTAAAAATGAGAGAATCAAGGTAGTTTATGATGGTCATCATCGCTAAGATCCTTCCTAGGCATGGCGGCGTAACATTGATGCAAAAAGAAACTGATAAAATATATAAATGATGTTCTCTTGACAGAATACTTCTAGAAACATTAATGCTTAGAATCAGGAGACACACTTAAAACAATGAAAAGATTGCATATTGGATTAATGTATGCGTACATGAATAGTAAAGAAAAACTTCTTTCATTCTGATTGACTTAATCAAGGAATCTTATTTTTTCTGGCTATATCAGGATCCATAAGAAAATTTTATGTTACAACACCACAAAAGCTCCTGAACCCTTACCAATAGTATTCCTTCATTGTTTTTTATGAACATAAGAATTACATGAGTGCACCCTGCCAGTTTAAAGATCAAGTTGTGGGCGAGGTGTTTATCCCCTCCACATCGCGAAAGAAGGCGCGCATGATGGAATCGAGCGTGCAGACACTCCCAGTGGTCACAAAGGAAGGGGAAACCCAGTCCGCATTGAGTGCCCTCAATCTATCGGAGCAGCTAGACAAAGCAGTGGGTACTGAGAACCACTCAGCCAAACAAGCCTGCATGGTTGGGCTCCAATATGTATACGATACCAAAGTGCCATATAACGAGGAGGCGCTGGCGTCCTTCTTGGAGGCTAGGAAAGATGAGTGCCTCTCAATTCTTGATAGTAACACAAAGAGCACGATCTTCGACAATTATGAACCCAATTGGGTTACCCATACTACTGAACTTGTGCCAGTTCATACACTTACATCTCCCCATGCAATTGAAAGCGAGCTACATGCTCTGGGTCTATCCTGGAACGCTAGTGGCACGATGCTGGCGGTAGCATATGGTCGTATCGACACATCCGGTTGGTGTTACCACAGCGGCTGTGTGTGCGTGTGGAACCTTGCGCGTCATGATCTTAACGTTAACAATCCACACTATACACTAGAGACCGACATGTATGCGACGTGTGTAGCTTTCCACCCAAAAAACTCGTATATGCTGGCTGTGGGTACCTATAGTGGTGAGGTTATCCTCTTCCCTAACATCACAGAAGATATTCCAAAGGAGTACTCCACACGCAAAGCGAGTTTGGCGCATCACGAACCTGTATCAGCGCTGCAATGGGTACAGGAAATGCAAGAGCATCGTGAGGCGCATCGCTACCTACTCTGTTCTGCAGCACAGGACGGCCAACTTATGTTCTGGAGCCCGGCTAACAAGATGGATACCCCATTGGCCGTCTTCAGTGTTCGTAACAAACGTCACATGCTTGTCGGTGTGTCGGCGATCGCATACGTTCACTCGACTGGACTGAAAAGCTTAGGTGAGCCTCCAAGCATCAACAACTCCATATTGGTTGGTTTGGAGAGCGGTAATATCGGCTGTGGGCGCACACCCTTGATCAATAATGCTACGGAGAGAGCTACTGGTGCGGCTGTTCCGCTGGAGTTGGACTGGATGGACGGCCACCAGGGTCCGGTACAGGCTCTTAGTACGTCACCCTTCTTTAGGCATATGTTCATGACATGCTCCTCAGATGGCACCGTTAATCTGTACCACAACCTCGAGCGCACGCACATCTTGGCACTTGAGCCATCGGCTGACACAAAGCACTTCCTGTACGACGCTCAATTTAGCCCGTTTCGGCCGAGCGTTTTGGCCGTTGTGTCACGCAGCTCTTTTCTGCACATCTACGATCTCCAGCACTCGCGGTTTAGGCCGTTATTCTCGATGGAGGCAGGCGTTGATGGGGCGGCGGTGATCTGCACCCGCTTCAGTGTGACGTCCGCTGACCGGTTAGCCACCGGCGACGCACGGGGTTGTGTGAGGGTGTGGAAGCTCCCGGCGGATCTAACACAGAGCACGGAGCAAGAACGTATGGCCATGCGCGCTGAGCAACATGCGGTCAGCGACAAGTCGGATGAAACAAAAATGGATCCTATTCAAGCTCTTTTGGGGCATTCAACATAGGAATTATTCTATGCGGATGTACCCTCTTTTTACATTATGTAGACTTCTATCCTATGGTTTATGAGTGTGTGATTTTTTGGAAAGAATGAAAAGAACGACTTTTGATAGCAGCTACTCGGTGAATAAGGATTCCAAATGCCCTATCTTTTTTCTCATTGACTAGCCCTTGAATCGTTCGGGGATTATTTTCCTTTTTAAGATAAATTCAATTTTTAAAAGGTGGTCAAAAGATATACTACAATAGGAAAATTACCCCTCGCACAACGAAAAAGAATTCTACCAAGGTCACAATAGATGGTATTACTAAGGCTGCGTGTAGCTGTAGTTGGTGCCCCCACTTCAGGCAAGACAGCCTTTGTGCAGATGGTGCACAGCAATGGTACCACCTTCCCAAAGAAATATCTTATGACAATGGGCTGTGATTTTGTAATAAAGGAGGTCAGGGTAAGTGAAGGAGACTCCGTAGAGGTCACAATACTGGACGTGGCCGGTCAAAAGTTATACGAACAAATGGTCCCTGTCTATCTTGAGACTGCCAATGCCTTTATTGTAATGTACGATATATCGAATCGGTCTACCTTTGAGGAATGTGAAAAGTGGGTGAATAAATTACGAGAAGTGCGTTGTGATCTCCCGTTGCTTCTTGTTGCAAACAAGTCGGACCTGATGGATAAAAGTGAGGTCAGTGATGCTCTTGCCCAGTCATTCGCTGGATCACACAAAATGAAGTTTTTCAAATGCTCCGCGTTGCGCGCCACAGGGATCGATGAACCAGTGGAAACCCTTGCACGCCAATTTCTAGAGAACTATGAAAATCGGTTGGAGTTGCTCTCTCAAATCCCTTGAGTGATGAAACTTTTTATTTTCGTACACACTACATTTATTCGCAGGATATATGCGTGTATATTGTGACTTTTCTTTGATTCATTTGAGCCTCAGTATTGCCTACAATGTAAACAAAAATTTTGAAAAATGGGCGCCTGATACCTGTGTGGATATTTACATTCATTTTATGGTCATGAAGGATACTAGAATATAATGGTAAAGAGATGGGACCAGAATGAAATTAGTATTATATGCGTATAAAACGCTAAAGACAAATTTATCTGCAAGTCTTCCTTATAAATATCTTTCACAAGGTTCGATAATGTAACATGATACTATCATGATGAAAGCACAATTCGAAGCTCTAGTAGAATGCGATGTTCGGGAACGGCTTCCACTTTGGTGCACAGCTCTGCAAGTCTTCCCTAACGGAGATTCTATGGTGACGAGCCTTTTACGAGAGGAGCATACGGGAATTGTCAAAAAGTGTAAATGCTTCCAAACAATCTGCGTCCAAGAGAATTGTATCATTAGCGATGACAACCTTCATTCGTTAGCGCAAAATCTTGAAAACATTTATCAAATGTATCCATATGCTGATGTTTCTGGTTACATCTGTTTTGAGGACAACGCCGGATCTATTACATACTTTGAACTAGAGGTGGTAAAAGTATGATCAACCCCTTGCCTTTCCCCCCACCCACCCCCTTCCTGTAAGGATGAATATGGAAATATGAAGTCTAACAAACCCCTTTTAAAAGGGTCACTCAGTTTTACCCATGTTTATTACAACTGCCGTTTTTTATGATGTCTCCTATGAGATATTTATATCGGATTTCCTTCCACAGAACTTTTTTCTTGAGACTGTAAACTACAGAAATAGGTGAGATCATATATACTACACAGAATGAACTCGTATAGCTCAAGCTGGGAGCGTAATTTTGACCTTCTGGCTAATGCCTTACAATCGTTGGATCGTAAAACAGCTTCTATCCGGCGCAGCACCAACAAAGTGGTATCCATAAAGGACATCAACAAGGAACGTGAAAGGGTAAAACAGGCCACGAGTACTGCGAACAGTTCCGATGTTCAAGTTATACAAGACCAGTTGCGACAGGTTGAACGCTTGATTAAGCTCGACTCTAATCTTAATATGGGTGATGTCAAACTGATTAATGAAGCCAAATCCACCCTGAATGCTTACCAGAGCGCATGTGATAAGTTTTACAGGAAATGCATTGCCGTGGAAGAAGCTTCACGCGAGAAAAAGAGTAGCAGAACATTGTCCTCACTTCATGATAGAAGCTATGCTGAGGAAGGAGACTCTACGTTACCCCTCCTGAAGGATGGCTCGGCCGCGACCGCTAAGACGGCCTTCGAAGATGATCTGTATCAAGAAATTATGGCGGAGAGAGTTAAAGAAACACAAGAAATCGCTGACAGTGTCAAAGACATTCACGAAATATTTGTGAATATCAATGAAATGGTAGAAGAGCAGGGTGGACAACTTGAAACTGTGAATGCTAACGTATCCGCCTCAGAACGTGCGACGTTTAACGCGAATGAGAACCTGCGTCGAGCCCATCAGTACCAGGAGAACTCCTACAGTAACAAACTTCTATTGATATTCGTCATCTTTATGTTTGTTATAACGTTTATTGCTCTCTTTTCGTCGTAATGGTGCTCTGCTGGATAGGAAAAGTGCGCGTTCTTTTGGAAACTTTTTATATTTATGAAATTTCTAGGTGAAGAATCAAACTGGTATTCTCTTACAGTAATTTCAAGTGGTGTGATGAAAACTTGCAATACATATATATATCTTCTGAATTCGTTTTGTCAGTTGTGCTTATAATAATAAAAAAATCATTTGATCTCTCCATGAGTAAAATATCCCGTTTTAGTCATTGTGATTGAGTAATGTGACACTGCATAAAATTCTGCATGATATTTTCAGTTCAACCTACACGCGCTGTTTTCTGTTTTCCATTAGTTCAATCACTTATATCGTTTTTGTGCACTATTTTATTCTCCGAAACGTCCAATAAAAGGGATAATATACAAAAAAATCGGTGCTTTCATTCATATTCATGACAAACAATGATGAAGGTACAGTAACCCCGTGGGTTGTTGAGGGGGAAGTGAACTACGACAAATTAATCAAGGAATTTGGCTGCCAAGCAATTGATCAGGACCTCATAAAACGAATTGAAAGGCTAACTGGCAAGAAGCCGCATCATCTTTTGCGGCGTGGTATTTTCTTTTCACATCGCGACTTCCACCTATTACTAGATGTGTATGAGAAGGGTATGCCCTTTTACATCTACACAGGACGTGGACCCAGTAGCGAGTCGATGCACATGGGTCATATGGTCCCCTTCATGTTCACCAAATGGCTCCAAGAAACCTTCAAAGTTCCGCTAGTGATCCAACTCACGGATGATGAAAAGTTTTTTTTCAAGGACTTAACCATAGATCAAGTAGAAGCAATGACACGTGAGAACATGAAGGATATTATTGCACTTGGCTTTGATCCGGAGTTGACATTTATCTTCAGTGACTTCAACTACGTTGGTAACATGTACCGTGTCATCGCACGAATTGAAAAATCGTATACTGCCAGTCAAGTACGTGGAACATTTGGCTTCAAATCAGAGGATAACTGCGGCAAATGGATGTTCCCAGCCATTCAGGCGGCACCATCGTTCTCGGTTTCCTTCCCGCAAATATTTCCTCCTGAAAAAGGTAACGTCTTCTGTCTTATACCACAGGCTATCGATCAGGATCCCTACTTTCGGCTGACACGCGACGTTGCGCCACGCCTTGGCTACTTAAAGCCCTCTATCATCCACTCTAAGTTTTTCCCAAGTCTAAGCGGTTTAAAAGGCAAAATGAGTTCGTCTGTCGGAGCTGCAGTATTCCTGACAGACACACCTAAGTCGATTAAAGATAAAATAAACAAGCATGCATTCAGCGGTGGCGGCGCCACGAAGAAGGAACATTTCCAGCTCGGTGCCAATACCACCGTTGACATCCCAATTCAGTGGTTGCGCTTTTTCCTAGAGGATGATGATAAACTAGAAAAAATCGAGCATGACTATGCGCTCGGTTGGATTATGACCGGTGAGGTTAAGAAGGTGCTTATTGAAACCATCACTAAAGTCATAAAAGACCATCAGGAAAAGAGGAAAATGGTAACTGAGGAGGATCTCAGGCTTTTCTCCAGTATTCGTCCCCTGGGAAAGACGTAGCAGGGCTACGATTTGGGTCTCTAAAATGCTTAATTGTGACATGTGAGGTACTTTTATGACTAATTGGATTATACCTTCACCTGCTATCTCTTTCATAATTGAGGTGGGTGGATGTTGATAGAGAGATTAGATAATATAATTGTGTTACTCGGATTTAAAAAACAAATTTCTGCATAGCTCTGAGTGTTGTACTATTGTTTTTCTTTATAGATTCCCTCTGTTTCGTATTTGTCTGTTCAAATGTGAATTAAAACAATTATACATAGATATTGCATGCTAACATTTTGTAGATGGTTTCGCTCACGTCTCGGTGTCACCCCTGTAGATGCTAGCCCCCTATTATTGTTGCGCTTTGTCTGCCGAGATGGTTCCGTAGACAGCCCCCCTCCTTCACCGACTGTGTCCTCTAGATTGGGTGAGAATCGTCTCTCCGTCCGTACCTTGGTGTTAGACGAGCTCCCACCTCGCCAGTTAGATCTATTTTTCCAATATGTTGATTTTGTCACGCACGGACTCAAGATGCTTCCGCCAGTGCAATGTCAAAGGGTTTTGGATGGGTTAGTACGCAAAACCCTTGCGGGGTTCATCAGCGATTGTGTAGATAATGAGAGCACAAAGCACCATGCGTTGCGTCCATTGCTGAATGTAGTCCTCCTTCAAAATGTGGGGCCCTTCTGTGGCTGGTTTCATCATGGCTATGAGGAAACCCTCCTGCCAGAAATTTGCAAAGAGTACTTGCCGGACACACTTTTACACTCATCTAGCGGCATGTGGCTACAGCGACGGGCAACTATTGAACGAGTAAAAAGTGTGGTCTATAGTCCTCGCCTTAGAATGTCTCTTGTCAAGCCTTTTGATGCGGTCTCTTTAGCAGCGCTGAGGGAAATAAACACTTTTTATCTACATAATCTGTCCGCAGTGTGTACCAGGAACAACTATGACGAGACAGAACACCTACAACTCATTCTCTCCATCGTTGAGGCAAAGCGGATTCGAAATATTGTTCACACACCGTATAGCAAATTATGTAATACACCCAGTAGTGCAGTGGCCTTGATGCGCTACATATTATCCAGTGCGGAAACGGGTCTTTGTCTGAAGCATGAATTGTTGTCTAACGCATCGACATGTTTGCGAGGCATGTGGCGCGAACTGCATAAGTTACTAGGGGTAGAAAAAGAGGCTTTAGTTAGCGGCCCTGCCGAGTGGGGTCTTGAGGTAACATTGCCCACTGGTTGTGCTTTGCTGGACCACACACTTCTCCTCCTGTTTGGTGATATTTCACACACAGATCGCATGAAGGTGTGGGTTTTGCTAACCACAGAACTCGAAAAAATGCACACCGTAATAGCCAAGGAGGGCAATGTGTTTCTTGAGCATTTTGACTTGGATACGGTAGAGTCTTCCGTGGATGCCGACGGTGAAGTCGGCTTGTATGACAGTGCTTTCTTCGATAATGTTCTTCACGAAACGAGAAAACCGCTAACCCTTCTTAGGTCGATGCGCTCCCAAGAACGAAAACACTCTGGAAGCTGCTCACTCTCTAATCCAAACGCCCATGGAGGGGACTTCTGCACCCCCCTTGTGGGGATGGGTTTGAATTCAAACGGGTATCTAAGTAAAATGCTCGCCGCGTGTGACATGCTTTCTTCCATTCTAAATTCATTTTGTGCGGGGAGTGAAACCACGCTTCCTTCTTTAGAGGAAATGGATATCTTTCAATCAACGCTGCTGCACATGCGGCACTCATTGCGGGTGGTTATTGGACGTCGCTACATGCTGGCACCACACCCCACAAACTGGTGCGAATTCGATCGGCATCGGGCGCTCCCCTTCCTCGAGGCCCTCTCCGTCTCTCTTTGTATTCGCAAAAGGTTTGTGGTGCTTGTGCTCGGACTTTCGGACAAAACTACAGAATATGAACCAACAAGACCTGCTGCTGTGCGCACCAATAGCTTTTTGATTCTCTCGACGCTGTTCCCTGGCTTGACCCCTTCGTTTCTGTACGCTGAGGAACCTCGAGGTGATTTCCCACCGCAAGCTGGCACTTCTTCTTGGACTTATTTTTCCTGTAGACAGCAAAAGATAAACCACAGCGAAGACTGTTATCTTAGGGTGACTAGTACGCACGTCAATAAAATAAAGCAATTAGCCACAAAAAATGCCCATGAGAGTGTGGCACTTGGACTCATTTGCACAGAAAATGCTGCTGTGGAAGATGTCTTTCCTCTTGAAGAGTGGTGTCACAGAGTATTCACGTTAGTCCTGCGTCCCTAATAAATTATATGAAGCAGCTGTCCGGTGGAATTAAAATTGTTCTTCCTTTTTCCTCAGTAATCAACATGTTTATCTGTATTTCATTTCTTTTTGCAATCCCCCTTTTCACTGTTTTCGGCTAGGGTTGAAGAAAAAACAGTTCACTATTCTTCTCAATCTCTATTGATATAAACGGCTCTCAGTATATACGTTAGTGCACTAGGTCCCCATTCCTGAGGAAGAAAGGGATGATACTCCGAAAACTCAGCTCAGGTCAACTACGGCGTCTATCCCTCGTTTCGTTATGTATGCATCCGATTAGCATGTGTTTAGCGAAGCGAGCATCGAGCACGCACCCCAGTGACCTTGCACACACGAAGATAATCGAGGAGGAAAATGGTTTATTCTCATCCAAAGTCAGTGCAGAGAAGCATGAAGAGGATGAAGAGTTTGACGAACTAGAGGCGGGCTCACAGGAGGTACATGACTTGTGCTTCGCGATAATTGGCTTTCTCCGCCGCGCGGACCCTGCTGCCTCAGATTGTCTCTTTGAGCGTCGAACCAAGCGTCGATTCAGAGAGCCCATCCCAGAACACAAACGGCGGTTACTGCACACACACGGTGACAGAAGCTACCGAAGTTTGAATAGCTTTAAGAATGAAAGTGATTTCAAAAAAGCCACGCAATTGTACGTACAATTCTGCGAGAAACTTTTACATTTGTTGAACAAACCACTCATGGATCGTCTCATTGAAAGTGTGGGAAGAGGCTATAAAGATTGGCGCAGAGATGGTGTGCATCGCTACAGACGCTTGATTGAACGTGCAAGTTGGAACTCATTCCCACATCGATGGTTTAAGCATTCGCCGTTTGAGGTTCAGCAACTGCGCGCGGACATACCGGAGTCGGCGGTAAGGAATACGCGTTTTTATCGAGATCATGCAACTATTTGCACCCTGTTTACGTTAATAGAAGCTCCGCACCCATACCAATCACAGATAGAGCGTCATATGTTTCAGATCACATCTAATTATGACCCCATTGTGCGGAGTTCGAATGTGGAGGGTAAAAAGCCCTAGTGATCCGACAGTAATCGATGCATTGCCTTTGAATTTTTTGTTTGTGTGCATACTTGCAATGCTTGTGTGAATGATGGAAAGGGTATCTCCAATGGCATATCTAAGTGGGTTGTCTCTTGTTGAATTTTATAGATTTCATTCACCAATTATCATGTAAAAGTATTATCTTTTATTTCCTGTATTTTTGGGGTTTGGATCATTCATTCAATAAATATGCTTGTGTGTATATAGAATAGGAAGGAGTACATTCTAGTCCAGATATTTACATTAGGCTTTTGTTGCTTGATGTCTTTTCCTCGCTCAAAGATCTGCCACCTTTGGCGAGGTCACTATTGCCTGAGTATTCAATCCGGATACACTCATGGAGTGCAGATGCGCTTTCGAACGGGGAACGGCCCGGGTGACCGCCGCATTCGCACGGACTGGTACCGCTGCTACCCATCCCTTATGCGCGAGAAGGAGCGAGACATGTACCACTGTTATTACCCATACCTTTTTGATCATGGTGAAAAGATGAGCCTTTACCCTAAAATCCCGGAGAACCCGCGGGAATGGCAGCCAGAACAACTGCAAACCACCTACGACGCAATTCGTGAGGACAAATATGATGCATTCATACGTCTTCGTGAAAAGTTTCCCGAACTTTACCAAGACACACGAGCGTGGGACAACCCACCCCCGTTTGGTGAATTTAATATGTTTTATAGTGTTCGCTTTGGAATGGTTGGTGTGAAGGTGTTCACATGCAAGGAATACGACGAATTTGGTAATCAACTGGATTGCACCGCGTTTTGGTTCCCCGATAATCAGATTGTAAGGCACGGTAGCCGAAAAGGTGACGTGGGGACAGACAAGGTATTTGTGGGTGCCATGAACGTTCCGGTTGAGTTTCACAAACCTCATGTGTCGGCCTTCTATAAGGCGGCTGGAGTTCCTGTAAAGCATGTTTCAGTCGGTTTCTATGTCACTCCTGACGCCTACGCCCCGGTTGGGACGAAGCTGGACGTTAGACACTTCAAGCCAGGCCAGGAAGTCACCATCTCCTTCCAAAACACGGACTATGGGTTCAAAGGGGTGATGTTTCGCCATGGTTTTGATGGCGGGTATGTGTGGCTTGGCGACTCTAAGTGGCAGCGACGCCCCGGGTGCATGGGCAGTGAAGGTCAAAGTCGAATCTATCCTGGTCATCGAATGGCTGGGCAGACGGGTGCATCAGTGGAGACGTACCACGGCGTTCCAATCTGGCGTATTGACTACAAGAACTCACTAATCTATCTTCCCACACTCCTGGACTCGGATGTGGGGACATACGTAAAGATGAGTGATACGATCAACACAAAGGGCTACACATTATGGAATGATCACAGAGGCCTTCCTCCGTTTCCTACTTTCATTCCTCCAGATGATGAGGATCTATCGAAGCTTTCCACGGATGAGTGTCAACTGCGCTCGCCACCTCTTTACTCGTACTTTAGAGATGAATTTGCTAGAACACAGCTCGTTTCCCAGGCCGATGTCGAAGATGCGAAAAGCTCGAAACCGGTAGATACTCCTACTAAAAAGAAACAATACGATATGAGAAAGTATCACGATGCCAAAAAGAAGTATCGCCAGAACTTGCAGAAAGCTCGAAAATATAAACTCATGTCCTTGCGTACGCGAGCTCACGAAAAACAACAGGAGGCACGGAGAGCTAAGATTATGAAGTACAAGCGAGTGAAAACTTAATCAAACTTTCCTTTCATTTTTTGCCACTGTTGTCCGATGGGGATCAACGTCTATGCGAACTAGAAGCCCTGTGTGGGTTTCCCTCTGTGGTATGTTTTTACATCACTTATGCAAATCACCGTTATGTTTGGGATTTGCTCATTTGACGATGTAAGCAATAATATCGTGGGTCAAAGCTGCGCGTTGTCCTTTAAACTTCTTCGACATGTGCAACGCCATCGTTGAATATATATGGTATCTGTTATATATCAAATAAAATGGACTCCAACACAAAGTAAGGTATTCTATTTCTCACTTTCACTGTTTGGCGTCGATATATTGCTAAGGTTAGAAAGAAAGTTAGCGAAAACCTTAACTGTCATACTTATCTTTTCACGCATATACAGGTATTGACAAATAAGTGTTGAAATATAGAATAAATAAAAAGTAGAAAATCGGATAAAAGTGCAGACTCAATAAAGTCATAAAATTGACCCACCCACCCCTGTGGTTCCTTTTCGCGAAGCCATGAGTACCTACACTCTCTCCTCCAGCCGACTAAAGAACATTCTTGAATACTGGAAAGCCCTTTCAGATTCTGAAGATCCTACCGCTCAGAAATGTACCGCAATTTTTTGTATTTTTGGCGACATAACTCCCAGTACTCTCGAAAATCAACGGAGCGAGGCCCTTATTCAGTATCTACTCGATGCGAAGTCACCGATTACCAATATTGCATTAGTTCTCACTGCAAGTGCTGTGCTTGTTATTGTTAGCGAAGCTATCTCTGTCCAGTCACCTGTGATCGAGGGTATTCAAGTGAGTATCGTTGCGAAGGAAGCTGTACAGGATGCTTTGCAGGACATACTTAAAGACGCGACCGTGGCCATTGCTCAAAAGGAGCTTGCTATTCAAGAGGGAAGCTTTTCCTCCGAAATCATACAAACATTTAAAATGGTTGCAAAGGACACTGTGGAAGCGGCCCCATTTATTGGTGAGTTACTCTTCAGGAAGGATGATGCAGCCCTTGGAAGTGTAGAGAAGGCCGCCGGCCTCTGTACGGCAATATTCCGCCGATTTGTAAGGCCACTCATTGAGGAACAAATATCTTCAACTCAACCAAAAACATTGGGTCAGCTTCGCGAAGAGGTGTGCGAAAAACTCGAGAAACCAAATACCGTGCAAGGCTTGGAATCGCTTAATGTGTCCGAGTTCGTCATGGCCGCCGCCTTGACCCCCTTCGTTTCCCGCAAAGGCACATATCAGTCTAGTATTCAAGTCGATGCACAACAGCTACAGGATCTGGGCCAGTCAGCCTTCTCCGGAGATGTCGTCGTTGTTCGGTACGGCACCAAGTGCAACTCTCATATTGCCTTCTTCGGTCGAACCATGATGGTGGAGTCTAAGGCACCAGCAGATGCCAGGGCATCCTATGAGTTTGTTTTCAATGTGAGTGAGAAGATTATTGCCTCTCTTGTGCCTGGTGTCAAACTAAAAGAGGTCTATGAATCCGTTAAGGAATATGCCATCTCCTTGAATGATACCCTTGCCCGTTATTTGAACAAGTCTTTTGGCTTTTCGACAGGTCTTCTTGTGCTGGAAGTGCGGGGCACTATATCAGAGAAGGGTACGGCAACGGTCAGAAACGGTATGTGCTTTGTGGTTCGCGTAATTTTGGATCAAGTCCCCGACAGGAATGGCGGATTTTATGGGATGGAGCTAGCTGATACCGTGATAATTCGGGACGGTGTGGCAGAGCTGAAAACAAAAGCCGCACGCAAACCAAGTGAAATATTGTACGAAATTGAAGAAACCGCAGAGGAAACGGGCGAGCAAGCGACGCGCAATTTATCGAAGATTACACGGCAAGGCATGAATGATACAGCTATTGTTCCACGGGAAGCTCAACGAGAGGACGAACTCAAGAAACTCCTCCTCGAACTCCACGCCGAATTCATCGCTGCAGGTGGCAAGAAGGGTGCACAGACATCTACAGAAGAGCTACGCGTCTACGAAATTGGTCGGCTTTCGTTTGGAGAGCTTCATCCATTCTCTGCCACTGACCGCGTTCCGCCAGCAGAAGCAAAAGGAAATATTTACATTCAAACAGACAAAAAGATCGCTTGGTTACCTCTATTCGGTAATCTGACTCCTTTTCATGTCTGTACAATCAGTAAAGTGGATGTGCGCATGGAGGGGGATCGCTATATCATGGTGATTACCTTTCATACCTTACAGGAGGCGAATGTGGGCTACAAGCTGAACCGTACAAAGGTTTTCCTCAAAGAGCTTAACTATGCATCATCAAGTGATATTTTTACCGAGGTTAAGCTTCAAATTCAAGCTGTGCAACAGCGCATCAAAAACGAAGATGCTGCTAGAAAACGGAATGCCACGACTGCTGTTACCGGCAAACTTGTAATTGGCAAGATTTTGGGCTTGCCGCAGGTGAAGCTGCGCCCACCCATCAACATCGGCCGCCAAAACAAAGGCTGCGTTGGCAACCTGGAGCTTCATCAAAATGGTCTGCGTTTCTCCCACCTGGGTGGTACTCCCATTGATGTTACTTTTGACAATATTAAACACGTCATTTTTCAACCATCTATACAAGAAATATGTGTTATCTATCATATTACCCTGAATAAACCAATTGAAGTGGGTCGCAAGAATGCAACGGAGCTGCAGTTTGTTGCAGAGGTGATGGAAAGCAGTGAAGCCGCAACTGGTACACGCCGGTCACACCAAGAGGAAATCGAGGCCGAACTCCGTGATGAAAACCGCGCTCGCGAGACCAACAAGCAGTTTATTACCTTTGCGAGAGCCGTAGAGGGGCAGAGCAAAATAAAGACGCAGCTCCCAATAAGCAAATTCTTTTTCGATGGGGTGCACACACGATCCATGGTGAAGTTCCGTGGCAGTAACGAAGTGTTATGGGCTATCAGTGACTGGCCGGCTTTTACGCAAGCGGTTAGTGAAGTCGAAGTGGTTTCCTTCGAGCGAGTGATTCCAGGAGGCTCCACCTTTGACATGACCTTAGTCATGAAGGACTACTCCAAACCTGTGACAACCATCAACTCCATTCCGAGGCAGTTCCTCGACATCCTGAAGGATTGGTGCCTCTCCGCTCGGTTGTACTATATGGAGACAACCGTGAACCCGAATTGGAAGGTAACGCTCAAGGATATTCGGGACGATTCAGAGTGGGATCCATGGCTTCCCGGTGCGGGATGGTCTGTATTAAACGATGAGGCTGATGAAGAAGACGAAGAGACCGATTCAGACTCAACTTACTATGAAGAAGAAGATGAAGAAAGTGACGACTCTGATGAAAGCTCGTGGCTTGAAGATGAAGAAAGCGATGTGCCCACTGAAGATGAGGACTCTAGTGATGCAAGCTGGGATGAACTAGAACAAAAGGCGGAAGAGCACGACCGGAAGCGACATTACAGCGACAACGATGAGGAGAGGCCAAAGAAAACTAGGCGAAATGATGCAAATCCCCCCCGAGCCGCTACAGTCCCCCCACGCCATGTCCCCGTAAAGACAAATCCCTTCGGAAAGACCGCTGTTCCGCCACCCTCACGTAGGTTCTAAGCGACTAACTAAATGTTTGGATGGTTCGAAACTACAAATAACCCCAGCAGCAGTACTATTAATCATTAATCAATGCATAACACTTCCTTCAACTATATAATACTTGAATGTTTACTAACATAATGGAACAAGTGATAATTGAAATTGATACCATTGCTTCCTGCATCTTGCCCATGTGCGCATTCCCCCATTCCAAATAGATTAGTATCAATAGATAGCAATGATAGGATAATAACTTTTCAGATTCTTTTTTTAAACCCCCACAGGTATGAGTGGCTCCCACGATTCAATGAGCGAATGAGGGGAGACAAAATCCCTCTTTTCCACCGGCTTTAAATCAACAGAGTTAGAATGGGAGGGAGAGGGGGGAAGTGAGGTGTAGCCCGCGTTAATCAGTGAATAATACCGGCTCATTCTATGCCTTTCATCTTTCAACATCCAGTGTATGTTATATAAAGATGTGACTGCAATCTT